TTTCTTTCTTTCTTTCTTTCTTTCTTTCTTTCTTTCTTTCTTTCTTTCTTTCTTTTTCACATTGACCAGTGGAGGGCCTGTATGCATTGCCTTGTACTGTGAGGAGAAACTTCCGTGATGAGGGTTGAGAGATACGCTCACCTATGGGCAAAGCAATGTCACTTTAAAACTATGGTCACTAGGCAGAATAATACTGTGTTTTCCATTAGGGCCTCTGACCTGTTTAGCCACAGTTCTTGGCACAGTGCCAGGTATGAGCTCCCTCTCATGGAGCAGGCCTTAGCCCAGTCAGGAGGCGGTTGGTTACTTTCATAACATTCATGCCGCTATGGCAGCAATAGGCATATCCAGTTAGACCCATTATTGTTGTGGCTTGCAGGGCTTATATCTGGCGCTGGCCATGCACACTGCTTCTCCTCCATTAGGGTGCATGGCCAGGACCTCCTGGCACTGCGAAAGCTAACTGGGGGAGATGAAGCTCCCAAGTTAGTACAGCCTTGATTTCTCCAAGTTATGTGACTCGGGTATGTGGTGCCTTCAGCAACAGGGGCTTGCCAACAAGTTCTGACCATAGCCAAGATTACTGGCAAAAACTTGTAGTTCTTGGGGCTCTGTGAGAGACCCCATTGGCACCAACTCAGGAAGTAGCTCATTCCTGGTGCTGGGGTTTTTATTTGCTAGGCTGAGGTGTCTGTCTTCTTTTCCTCTAGTAAGGTAACTCCATTAAAAATCAATCTCCCTCCCTCTCCCTAATCTCCATTCCCTCCCCATCCTTCTCCAGCTCCCCCTCCCCCTCCTGCTCCTTCTCCCTCTTCCTCTCCCTCTTCTCCTTCGTAGTATGTATAGTAGAATGGCTCTTTCAAAAAGCAGTGTTAATGATCCCATCCCATAGTCCTCCCTTTCACTTGAGCTTCTATTTCCCATCCCAATCAAATCTTCCCCATTCCATTATCCTGCTTTCCTCTTGATACAGTAACTAGTGACGGAGAAACGTTTTCCAAGAGACACAGTCCACTGGGAGGAGCTTTTAAAAAAGATTATTGGTGTCGACACCACCCTTCATCAAACGACCAAAGTCCATCACGCCTTGTCCCTTCTTGTCCCTTTGCTCTTGCCAAAAGGGCACAAACTGAACTCTACCGCGAAGAAACGGCAGACAAACCCAGATGAAACACTTGTTCCCGAGTTGTGTCCTAGAGCAGAGATAATTGTCAAACGCCCAAGTGCTCCACCAATGGTCAGTTCCTGGTTCTGGTCAGTGTACTGATGTTATGTAAGATGCTAACGTTTGGAGAAGCGGTTGGCCCAAGGGCTACGGGAATTCTGTTTTGCAACATTTTAGAAAGTCTGAGATTATTCCAGTTCAAAGGGAACAAGTTCGGCTTTTCACAGAGAGAAGTCGGGGCCTGCGGTCGGCCAGTGGCTTGGGGCTCTGGGCGTCCCAGCTGTGCGCCCCTGGGCTCCGCACCCCCGCCTCGAGTGGGAGGCGTCGCGGCCGGGCTCCGCGCTCCCGGCAAGCCCCGCCCCGGCCCGCTCGCGGCGCCGCGCAGTCATGCCCCGCGCAGCGCTGTCCACGCTCCTGCTGCTGAGCCTCGGCGCCGCCGCCGTCGCGGGTAAGCCGCCCCCGCCGCGCCCACCCCAGCCCGGGCGCCCCGCTCCGTCCCGCACCCACCCCTCCGGCTGCGCCTGGGGCAAAGGCCAGAGCCGAGGACCTTCCACCCACTTCCACCGCGTCTGCATCCTCAGCCCAGAGCCTCCACCCCAGGCGAGCTAAAGGGCGGGGGAACTTAAGTGTCCCCCGACGGGGTGTCAGCAGGGAAGGGCTAGGCCCGCGGGCGGAGGGGGGAACCAGGCCCTGTGGGTGGGCAAGTCGTTAAAACAGGAAAAGGGTTCAGCCAAATAATCCCTGCCCCAAGAGGAAGGGAAGAGGCCAGGCTCGGACCCTGCTACAAAAGCTGTGAAGTAGAGAAACCTGTGGGCGGCCGCTGCACGAGGGACCCCTGAAAAGTTAGACGGAACTAGTCGCATGCACAATGACTCCCGAGGAAGACAGACAATTCCACCGAGCATTTGTTTTTGCTTAAACATGGAGGCATGTCAAAAATGTTAATGGGAAACTCGGGGGGTGGAGGGATTTCCTTCCAAAAAAACGCTAGCAATCGAACGTTTCCGAGAATGAGAGAGCAAAATAAACAAGAATGTCGTGAATGCTTGTGTGAACTTCAATAACGGGATTGTGCAAGAGATTTTTGCCTCCTGGATTTATGGCATTTTAAGATAAATTTCTGTGTGAAGCCTGCTGACGGCGGGGAACGTTTTAAAGGCTCTGGGTACTGGAGATGTAGCACAGTGAGCAGCTCAGAGTTTGCCAAGCTCTTTTCCTGGGCCCCTTAAGCAGCACCTTGTGGCCAATTTAGACCGTCCTCCCCTGCCCACCCGAGGAGCAGAAGCAAAATGAGCAGTTCCACACCTTTCGGATTGCATAGATTAATTTTCATTAGCTTGTGGTTTGGGTTTGTTTTTTGTTTGTTTGTTCTGTTTTTCGAGACAGGATTTCCCTGTGTAGCCTTAGCTGTCTTGGACTTGCTTTTAGACCAGGCTGGCCTTGAACTCAGAGCAATCCTCCTGCCTCTGCCTCCCAGAGTGCTGGGATTACAGCCGTGAGCCACCGGAGCGTACATTAATTTTGTCTAGGGCTGTCTACACAGCACTAGAGCTGCTGTGTAGTCCGGGCGGACCCTGAGCCCTCGGCAGGCTCCCCTTGTTATCTGAGACACCTGAGCTCCCTCCTAGCTCACTCGCCACAGTTCCAGACTGTTCAGAAACAAAACAGAACTTTTGATGTGACTGTTGTTGCGGGGATGAGATGGTACAGTGAGGTGAATACGCTGGTTTCGCCTGGTGAGCTGAGTTGAGTCAGACCCTGGAACCAGGTAAATGGAGGAGAGAAAAGACTCGGTAAAGTTATACATACTCTAACCTCCACAGGGCACCGCGCCCTCACACACACTCCCCCCCCCCCCCCGCTCTGTCACACCCGTAGCAGTACTCCCCTAGCCATTTTGAAAGGAGGATGAGTTTCTAGCCTTGGCACCACCTGTGACATTGTTTTGACCGGCGATGGGGGACGAGCTTCATGAGGTCTGGTCTTCTGTCACTGTGTTCTGGATTCACTCTGCTAGTCAGCTCTCTCGGTCAGGAGAAGGACGAGCAGGAGCGCTTGGAGCACTGGCCGGCCAGCCAGCCTCTCTGCACTCAGTGAAGTGGGGATGGGACTTCCTAGGACTATTGTATCGAGTGAGAACACCCTCTCTCCTGCCTTTTGCCGGCCTGGGAAATACCACTGTGCTGGCCGCTTAGACTCCCTGAGCACATTTACGGGCATGATGAAGAGAGCTTATCAAGAATTAGCTGCATGGCCAGATCTCAACCCAAAAAGAACCTCAACAATGTAGCATAAAGTATAAATGAGGTGGGGAGCGTTCTGATTTTTTTTTTTTTTCTGTCACTTGGAGTGTGTCAGTGAAAGTGAGCTTGCTGGTTTTAGTTATTAGCTCAAAATTCACATCGGCTAAGACATCATTTAACTGTTGAAGGCTCCATGGCGGATCTCTATGGAAGGTCTCTGGTCTGGGGTTTTTGTCTGTTTGTCGTGGGTGCTGCTGGGGGTCTAAGCACCCGCCCCTCAGGCTTTGTACAGCAAGCTCTTTACACACTGGAACAGCACATCTGTTCACAGGGATGTGCCGGGACTACTGGGTCAGTCACTTCCCAGGAGGGGTGTGGCAGGAGTGAAAATAAGCCCTCACTCTGTGCTCATCTGCGACGGTTTGGGTGCCCCTGCCTTCTCTCTCTCGTTGTCTCACTATGTCCTCTGCTCTTCACTAAGTTTCTTCACCCTGACCTTGTGGGAAATCCAACCTTCCGTTTCTTCTGCACAGGCCGCTTACCCGCTGGCTGGTTAGCATAGGACACCCTAAGGCCGCCCCAAACACCTGTACTCCTTGCTATAGCTCTTCGGAGTTCTTACCTATCGCTCCTCTTTCCCGGGAGAAGTTCTGGCATCAGGAACCCTACTGTGTCGAAGGGTTATGTTTTATTTTGATGTGTCTTTAAACTTTACGATAAAATGAGGGAAACTGGATGATTTAAAAAGCGTAGAGGGTTAGCTGCACTGCGGTTTCTTTCCAATTGTATCACTTCTACCCGAGCTTAGAACTGTATTCATAGCATTTCCAGCTTCTAGAGCCATCGAGGCCACTTTTTCTCACCACTGTAGATGGAAGAGTTCTATTCCATGGAGAAATCATCTCGGATTAGAGGTGAGAATTTTTTTTTATAGATTTTAATTTTATTTTTCTAACAAGCAAGTGAATTCACAAATAGTTGTTATTTTAGGATTCCTTTTGCTATTGAGATGCTTTTATGAATTTGCTGAAAATCAATGTGCCACTAAAAAGCATGTGTTCTATTCTGCATGACTGTGTAAGGTTACAGACCAAACCCACATATCTGAATCAGTTACATGGCTGAAAACTCCTATGGATGGTTTTCCGCATGAAACCTCACAAATCTATCTGGACAATAGGAGTCCTGTTTGGCTGAAAACAAGGTCAAGAAAGAACAATTTTGCATCATCCCTCTTGGGTATGTGATTGGTTTCATGGGTTATTTTAGATTTTGAGGAGAAACCAGGAAAGTTAATCCATTTTTTAAAAAATGGAGCAGTGGCACTCAGTGAGAAAGGCACAGATGACGTGCCTCTTCAGTGGATAACTATCATACCTGTGAGGACAGGTATGAGGGTGAAAGCTAGTGGACAACAGGAATGGAGGCTAGGAAGAATGTCAGTGCAGCTCAGGTCCCTGGGATTTGGCAGATCTTGAAGCCGGTGTACAGCCTCAGAACCTACGGTTAGTTGAACGTGTGAGCCAGCTTCTCCCTCCTGGATGCATCACACATGTAATAAACAGCCTCCATTGTCCTCTTGTCCTGCTGAAGTTGGCCTGTGGAAGGTGAATGGGTGCTACTAAGAGAGCAGAGTGTTAGTAAACTTGTGTTGATAATACAAAATGCACTATGTGGATGACTTGTCGTTCGTTTTAGCACACGATACATTTAAGTAAATAACGTATATGGAAACTTTTAGACCCAAGTGCAGCTTTTAACTTTTTCGTGAGAACACTAAATTCTATTCATATTAAGTTAACAGAATTATGAAATTGTCCCCAAAAATGCCAGATAAGTTGCTAAAAATAGCAACATATCTTTCAAGATTGTCATGAAGACGTAAGAGTTGTAGAGAGTAACTGTGCGGTGAGCTTTGTGAGCATTTTCTAATCATAACAGACATAGCAACAGTGCTAGCATGGAAGGTGACATAGGGCAGCTTTCCAGTCCTGAGGTAAGTGCTCTCTTCAACTGCCCTCGTGGAAGAGCCAGCCTCTTTGTAATAATGCAATACTTTGTGATACTTCAGCCTTGAGTGTGTCTATCTGGGATACACACTGACCTGTAGCTTTTAAGCAGGGGTTTCCTTTTTAAAGTAGAGATACAGAGGACGCTGAAATGAGCCTAACGAGAAGGCACCTAAAAGTTCTGGGTGAGTCAACAGGGTATTTTCTGCTTCTGTCGCTTGTAGCCTTTTTCTTTCCTTTTGCTCTTTCAGAATTATTCAGCAATAGTCTGGAGTGACACGTTGCCATCATCACGATGCCCACTTGCATCTCGGGAGCCTTGGGTTTCCTGTTTGCTCTATCTGACCTCAGTATCAGGTCTTTAGCGCTTAGAAGCCTCAAAAATGTTCCTGAAGCTTTTCCTTTGGTGTTTACTTGCTTGTAGCTCACTCCCACACTAAATAGAGTTGACGTATTTAACTGCGGTGGTTAGGTTTATGTATCAAATTGAGTGCACTACAAATAGACGCCTACAGAGCCGATAAAACACTATTTCTGGATTGGACTAGCATTTGAGAATTTCACCGTTGCCCATAAATGCTGAGATTAGCATTTGTGTCTGTAAGGTTTAGTGAAGGAAATCTCTCCTCATCGGCCTGGGCTGGCTTCGTCTACTCACTTGAGATAGAACAGGAAGGCTGAGGAAGGTCAAATTCTTCCCAGCCTGAGCTGAGGCATCTGTTATCTTCTGCCTTGAACTTGCTATGGCACACCTGGTTCTCAGGCTTTTGGACTCGGGTGAGGATTTATGCCATTGCCCCTCTCCCTGACCCCATCCTCAGACTTTAGACCAGGACTGAATAACAACATCACATGTTCTCCAGCCTGCCAATGATAGATCATGAGATTTGGTTTGTTTGTTTGTTTGGTTGGTTGGTTGGTTAGTTGGTTGGGGTTTTTTGGCTTCAATAACTGGGTGAGCCAGACAGATAGGCAGGTAGGTAGGTAGGGCAATGGATAGATGGACAGATGGATGAATAGATAGATGATAGACAGATAGATGGATGGATGAATGGATGGATAGATAGACAGACAGACAGACAGACAGACAGACAGAGAGATGGCAAATCTTTCTTGAATTGGTGTTCTTTCCCTGGGAAATTCTAATACAGTAGCCAATAGGATATTTCAGAAATGATTGACAACCAAGCCTGGATTCTGTACAGCTTTTCACTACTAATCCCCAACTCTTGAGATGCTATCTGCTTTCTTAGTCACTTTTCTCCTTGCTGGGACATAACAGGAACACCTTAGAGGAGGGTGAATTTTGGCTCACAGTTTGAGAGTAAAATCCATCATATGGCAGGTATTTGTGGCTGGGAGGGCAGGAGTGTGAGCTTGCTGCCTCTCATATCTCAGCAGACCAGGACACAGAGAAAAGACAGAAAGGGGACGTGGTTAGAGTTCTCAAGCCCCCTTCTTCCAGCTAGGCACCACCTTCCAAAAGTTTCCCGGTTCTCCAAGACAGAGCCACAGCTGGGGACTGAGCCTTGAAACACATATACTCAAACCAGGTCATTCATTCTTGGTTTCCATAGGTTCAGCCATCTCGTAATACCAAGGGCACTCAGCTCAATTTCTCCTCACAGAACTAACATTTTCAGTGTTGTTCTATAGACAAACTTTTGGCTGCGAGTCCCTGTAATATAGAAAAAACAAACAAACAGATTTCATGTTTTCCGTGTATAGCGGCACAGAATAATTCTTATGACTAAATAGAAAGTAGCAAGGCATGACTGGACCACGGCATGACTGGAACCCAGCAGCACAAATACAAAGCCTGCCGCTCCGTGCCTGGCCGCTGGAACACCAACAGTACGTCATCTTCTGGTCCCCAACAGTCTGCGGTAGCCGTGCCTCTCCAGCCCACAGCACAGGCGACCCTTCTCCCGGACCAGCTTTGCTCTGTCTGCAGCTTTTGTTGGTAGATGTCCTGTGTTTCTGGCTTCCCCCATATCCCAAAATCCCTAGCGCATCCTACCCTTCATAGCTGTATGCACAAACTCCAAGCTTCATGCAAGGACTCTGCCCCTGTCACATGTTGCCTGCCCCTGGGGAACTTTGGCACAATCTTCCGCAATGCTTGCCCTCATGCTTGTATCTGTGTGTCTACAAAAATAGCATCTGTAGACAATGGCACGTTCTACTGCTCAATGATAACCTGGCTCCCGTGTACCACAATCTACAATAGCCTTTCTGTATCTCCAGGACTGATGAACATAGTGAAACATTTCTCTGGAAAGCCGGGCTGCCTGGAATGGTTTTGTGTTCAGGAACGGGTTTTCACTGTTACACCCCGGTGCTCTCAGGGGTAGAGTTGTTTTTACAGCGTCTTTCCTTCTGTCTCTGTGAAGTGTGTGTATGGGAAGAGGGCTCTTTGATCCTCGGCAGTCACTGGACGCTACATCCCCGCCTACTTCAGCCTCACCTTCCAACCTTCTCTTTGGGCTTCATTCCCTGTTCACTCGCACTGTAAATCTGGCCAAGAACAATTAGCAGCATGGCCACACCGCAAACCCGAGTGCCATGCAGTTCTGAAATCTTCCCTAGCAAACAAACCAGTCCATTATATCTTAATTCTCCCTAATTCAAGTTTTCAGGACAGAGGCAAAATGAAGGCAGGTTCTTTGCCAGGCTAACAAGATCAGAAGGTCGCTCTCTGAAAGCTCATGATCACAGCCTTCCTGGCTGGGTTTCCTTCATCCTCTTTCCTAGCTCCTGCCAAGATCACCCTCTTAAGCTCTGATTAAAGCCTTCCAGGACTTCTCTAGCCTCCAGCCCCGAATTCTTCCACTTTCCTCCTAAAAACCTAGGAAATATTATCAGGCTTCCTCTGGCGGCAACAATGACTCCGATTCTCACGAGCAGTCTCGTGCGTTAGCTACTCACCTCACTGCGACCAAATAGCTCGTCAGAGCAACCGAGGGCAGAGTTTGTTCTGGCTCACCGTTAGAGAGTCCAGCGCAGAAGGAGAGGCACGCTGGTAGGGACAGCTCATGACTCTGGTAGCAGGAATGTATAGATGCTTGCTCATGTCTGTGGGCCAGAAGGCACAGAGAGGACAGGAAGGGAGCCACACAAAACAATGCCACTTGCTTGAGAAATACATGGGTCAAACTGATGAGTCTCTAGGGTACATTTCAAGAAGTCATACGGGGACTCCCCGGTACCACTGCGGGGAGAAACTGAGGTACCCAGCCCACACCAACTCCTCATTCATGGAAATTCGCCTTCCATACTCCAGCTGAAGTTGCGTGTTCAAGTGACTGCTGCCCTAGCCAACACACCGACCGCATCTGCATGGGAAAACTGCAGCCCAACAACCCAAGAAACGGCTGCTTCCAGTTCTTAACCAGAGCCACTGGAGGACCTGATGTTTCTTGCGTTAAGCTGCTCGTCTGTTACACGGTAGTAGATGGCTAATACGCCCTCCTACATGGTAGCCTCCACTTGACAGGATCTATAATTCCCCTGGACACAGGCCTTTGGCAATTATCTTGATTTTGTTAGTTGCCAGCCTGGTCTACAAAGAGAGTCCAGGACAGCCGAAGCTACACAGAGAAACACTGCCTAAAAAAAAAAAAAAAAGGCTCAGTGGGTAAAGATGCCTTGCACTGAGCCTGGTTTGATACCATGGGCCCAAATGATGGAAGGAGAAAACTGATGCCTGCAAGTTGTCCTGTGACTGTCACCTATACATAGATTTGTGACATACGTGTGCCCTCTTCACACACACACTGGTAAAAATATAGTTATTTAAAAAAAAAAAAGATATCCAGGTAGCACATGCCTTTAATCCCAGCACTGGGGAGGCTAAGGCCAGCCTGGTTTACATGGCCCTTTCCAGGCTAGCCAGGGCTACCTAGTGAAACAGTGAAAATAGACAATAGGAAGGAAAACCACCTCTATATAAACTGATTTCTATCTTAGAGATACTTCCTCATCCTAGTATATTTTGGATGATTTCACTATTAAAGCTGCCAACAAGCAACTCACACTTGAGACCATAAGTGAAATAGTCATTCATTTGACTATTGACCAGCTGACACATGAGTGGCCTGAATATGCTAACAAGACTTTTAATCCAACGTGGTTATGGTATGACAGTTCTTACGATCCATCCATCTTGTTCTTCTTCTTCCTTTGACCACATGGTAGCTAATGTAGTCAAGCCAACAGGAAAAGGAAAACACGGTATGAGGAACTCTTTCCTTTCTTGACTTCTGCTCACCTCTCGTCTTCCAGAAAACTGGGAAATAGTCTATTTTGGTAGCAAAATACACACACACACACACACACACACACACACACAGACACACACGGATGGGGTGGGGGCTAGAAAAGAAGGAAGACATGACCATCAGTCTTGCTTGTGCAATACTGAAATTTCCCTGAATATTCATATTCTAGATACTATCTTCTGTTCTTGAAAGTAGAATTTGGACAAAAAAAGATTTTGCAGAATTCTTAAGACTTTTAAAAGTATCATACACTACAAAGATAGCCTTCAGAGAGAAGCTCTTTATTCTGACTAGGTGATTTCCTTGGAATCTGGTTGGCTTGGCGATGGTGCTTAATTTGCATGTCTGAATTGCTAAACAGTCAAGAGGTTTGCAGCCACACTGAGACATCAGAAGCAAATCCTGGCACAGTTTTTTTCCCTACGTGTAAAAGAGAGGAACATGAATTTCCTCTTACACTGGTTGATTGCTTGTTTCAACAAGGGAAATGACTCGTATGTGTGGACTTTCAATATTCAATATTCTTAGCATCGGGAACTCATATTAATAGTATTTTTTTTTCTCCAAATAGACTGTCCTTCATCCACCTGGGTTCAGTTCCAAGGCAGCTGTTACACTTTTCTTCAGATAAGCATCAGCGTGGAGAACATTGAGGATGTCAGAAACCAGTGCATTGGCCATGGTAAGAAACTTTAGAAATAGTGTTCCTAATAGCTTTTAACTTCGTCCCAAGAGCTGAGGCGCAGACAGTGGAACTGAATGTATACTTTATCCCTGTATAAATTGGAGCGACAAAATGATAGTCGCATCAGTATCTAGTCACTGTGTGCTGTGACATTGCTGCCTGAGACACTGACTCTAGCGACAGCCTGGAGCCCTTTAATACAGTTCCTCGCGTTGTGGTGACCCCCAGCCATAAAATTATCTTTGTTGCTACTTCATAACTGTAATTTTTGTTGTTTGTTTGTTTGTTTGAGATAGGGTTTCTCTGTGTAGCCATGGCTGTCCTGGAACTCACTCTGTAGACCAGCCTGGCCTCGAACTCACAGAGATCCGCTTGCCTCTGCCTCCCGAGTTCTGGAATAAAGGTGTGAGCCACTGCTGCCAGGCTCCTAACTAATTTTGCTATTGTGTTTTCCCATGGTCTTAGGCGACCCCTGTGAAAAGGTCAATTGACCCCAAAGAGGGTCTTGGACCCTCAGGCTGAGAACCACTAACCTCTTAGAGTGAGCCCGATCTTATCTGTTCCCCTCTCTCCAACAGAGACAGTCGTCAATATTTACTGCACAGAAGTGTCAAGCGTGGGACGGGAAGGAATGTGGAACTTTCTCTTACAGAATCTTTTACCCAAGTTAGGCAGGTTGCTGTTCTGATTCTTCTGACCCAGAAACTCATACACAACCTTAAACAGATCTGATCAGCCTGCACCCACATGTCCCTCGCAACGTTTACTGTGGGCGATGCCTTCCCTTCAGCTGTAGCTTTTCAACGATGATATTAGAGCTAATTATGCGTGCTCCGCCCCCCCCCCCATGTGCATGCATACCACATGTGTGCCTGATGCCTGAGGAGGTCAGAAGTAGGTGTCAGATCCCCAGGAACTGGTGCAACCTGTGGCTGAGAGCCAACATACAGGTTCTGGGACTCGAACCCCAGAGTCCCTCTGCAAGAGCACCAACCCTGAACCTTCTCCCCTGTCCCTGCCCTGGTGTTCCTAAGTGAAAGTTAAATTTAACCAAGCTGACTGCTCAGCATGTAAACGGCCTGAGGACAGGAAGGTAAATGACCTGGAAGCATGTAATTAACCTGGTTACAAGGCTGGGTAAAAGTTCAGTTAGTGAAAGCGGACTCCACGTGTTTTCCGGACAATCCTTTCCCGCAGCACACCAAGCCTGCTTAAGCACTTCATAATTTATGTGGCTTTCCCAAGCATAACAAACCTATTTTGAGCTGTTTCTTTAGTCTCCCTTACCAAAATTAAGTTCAGTCGTCTGCTCAAGACCACACAGATTAATAATAACAGAAGCCAAGGTTCGGACGTAGTCTGGTGCTTGTGCTCTATCTGTCTCCATCTCTCTCAGGACTGCCTTCCTTTACCTGGGATCCGACTATGTTACAGTCTTCAAAGGTGACTGCTGACAATATCACTTACACCTTGCAATCTCCTTGTCCTCCCTACGATTCTAGGCTGGCCTTTGTGAGATGCTCGCTCATTTCAATGCAACATCTGAGGTCTAGACCTTAACAAGATTCAGTACATTTTCTGGAAGCCAAGAGAAGAGACTGATTCAAAGAGGAGAAAGTAATTAGCTGTGTCAAATGCCCCTACCAGTTCAGAAGGTTGGGGGTTGGTCAGGAACTCATCCTTCCATACACTAATGTGGATGCCTTTGATGATTTACACAGAAATCTCAGAGCAAACTCCTAACTAAAAAAGATTCAAGTGGGAAAAAAAAGGCAGGAAGAAAGGTTGGGGAAATGAATATAGATAACTCAGTTCTTGTAGAAAAATCCAAAGGCATCAGGGCAGTAACTGCAGGGGAACAATGATATATGACAAGAATGAGTTTTAAGGTGGCAGAAATAGCATCAGCTTGTCTTAACCCTATGACACAGTTCTTAATGTTCAACTACAATTTACTGACAGTATCGACTTACTAAATAATAAACAAACAAAACCCCACAGGATTCCTAAAAGCAAAGTCAATGCCCATTATATAGCTCGGCAAATTATCTCTATTTTTTGTATTCCAACTTCATAATGTGGAATAAGTTAAAATGATTTTATAGAACAACAAAGAAAAAAAATCCCACAAAACCCAGCTGTGTGTGTGAGAGAGAGAGAGTGAGTGGGGGTGAATGCAGAAGGCGGCCTGCAGTGTGGGTCCTCAGCTTCCACGTGGTTTGATGGGTTCTCTTGTTACTCACTGTTCCATATGCCTGGCTAGCTGGCCCAGGGGCTTCTGTCTCTACCTCTTGCCCAAGCGTAGGCACACCGTGGTCTATACATGTGCCGACATCAGCGGTAGTGAGTTCTGGGCATCTGAACTTGGGTCCTGATGCTTGTGGGGCAAGCATTTTACCCACTGGACCATCTCCTCAGTTCTAAAGTTCAGACTTAAGCAGTATTTGAGACAGGCTCTCACTCCTTACACAGACAGGCAGGTGTCAGCCTTCCTGTGCTGGGACTACAGACATGTATCACACACTCAGCAAATCGTCTTTTTTAAAAAAGACTTTCATTATGCACATTGTCCAGGCTGGCCTTGAACTCCTGCCTCACTCTCCTGAGTAGATAGGATTGCAAGCTTTTGTCATAGGACCCCAACAAAATTTCTGTTTTGTTTTGAGTGTACTTACTCCCAAGCTCGCTGCCCCGGGTGTGGGTATTGAGCCCAAGTCCTCACGCACAGTACATGTGCTCTGTCAGTGAACTCTTTCAACACTCCTTTCGTTAAAGATGTGCTTGGAGTACAGACAGCTCATGCACTTGGCTTTTTGTCCCAAAAAGACAAGCTTCTGCTTTGTCTCTTTGTTTTGACATTCCTTAGTGATGACGTCTGAAACTACTTGGCCGAAACGTGAGGTGAGCCAGTGGCATTGGCCTTTGGTTCCTTAAAGGTGCCTTTACTTCTGTGATAGCGCTAAAAAGTCGCTTGTTCACCTCATCACACTTTTTTCTTGGTCAAGAAAATGTGACTGAGAAATGGCCCTGCCTGCCTTTAATCCCCGCACTCATGTGGGCAGAGCTCTGTGAATTTTGGGCTAGCCAGGGCCACATAGTGAGTGAAGGGGGGTCAAGAGGGAAAGGGGGGGATTATTGGTGTGGCGATGCCTGCCAATAATCCCAGCACTTAGGAAGCAGAAACAGTGATCAGGGGTTCAAACCAGCTTGGCCCACATAGTGAAAGGCTCAAAATAAAGGCTTGCTGCAGTGCTGAAGCACCCACCTAGCCTATGAGAGACTGTAAGTTCAGTGGCCAGGGGCGCTGGGGGAAAAGTGAAAACAATGAAACAATAGCACACTACGTCGGCTAATTTTGGTTATCCACTGGACTGGATTGAGGGGTGCCTAGGATGTTTGATAAATGGCTCCTAAGGACGTTCGTGAGAGTGTTTGTAGGGGAGGCAGGCCTATGGATCCAACTCAGTATGAGAGAGCCTGTCCTGGGAGCGAGTAGGTGCTAGCTAGTCAGCTGAAGGACAAGCTGGAAGGACAAAGGGATAGACAACCTCACCCTCCTTGCTGAAAACCTTGGACCTGATTCCAGCTTCTTCAGCCTTTGACTCTGTCTCACTCTATTCAGGCGTGCCCTGGGCCTTTGAGCCCTGATGTAGGACCTGTCCTAAGGCATCTTCTCTTATTCTAAAGCATCTTGTACTTAGCCACTAACTGGCTTCCCTTGGCTCTCCAGTTTGCAAATGGTCATTACAGAAGTTCAGCCTCTTTGATCATGTAAGCCAATACAGCAAATCATCTCATTAAAACAAAACAAAACAAAACAAAACAAACAAACAAAAAAAACCAAGAAGCACAATTTCTGAAAACCCACTAGTAAAACATTTTGGAAGACTATGAAGTTTTCAAAGTCTATTTAATTAAAGTCATACTGATTGTGGAAGGAGTGTTGTTGAATATTAATATTTATTATTGATTTATCTTTTAGTTAATCAGCAGTTATTCCTAACCAGCTGTATACCTAAATCACCACATAGAGACTAGGATTTATTCAATTAACCTAGAGCACAATGCTGGGCAATAGTTACTCTATCGTAAACCAGCAAGCCCACATAGTTTCCTACCTTTCAGATTTCACCCATATACTTGCTTTTAGTCATATCTTAGGTCTGGCTCATCTCTCCTCATGCTTCCATCTTCTCTCCTGCCGACCTCTGCTCCTACCTCCTACTCGATTCTTTCTCCTCCCCTCTGGAACAGGATGTCCCACCCTATTCTCTCCATTGCTCAGCATTGGGACTGGTTGCTTTATTGACAATACAGAGAACAAATAGTGGCATGTTTACACAAACTTGAGACAAAGCATCAAAATGCAATTTTGGGATTGAAACCAGATAGAAAAATCAGCATTTGAATGAACGAGGATACATTCCACAAGAATATTATACCAACAACAGAGTAAATGGAAACATAGTTTTATTGATTCTGTTGAAACACAATGACAGGCTCTCATTGTGAACACAGACTAGCCTGGAGTACCTGATCCTCAAGTTCAGCCTCTTGAGGCCTAGGACTACAAGGGTATGTGTACCAAGACTGCCTGGCCATAATGGACATACACATATTTATTTTCCTTTGAAAAGTTCATAGCTGTTAAATGGTGTCGACATGTTGGCTTTTAGCGGGGAGAAAGACACAATTTCCAGCATGCCAATATAACTTTATTTCAAGGAAACTGAGCAGAATAGCAATTTTGAGAGTCTTAATAGAGTTTTAAAATAAGATTTCCTTGAAAACCGTTTTCAGTTGCTACATCTATTTTAAAACAAGGTCATACCACATAGTCTATCTGGAAAGCTGAGGCTGGCCCTCCAGCTCCTATCCAACCCAAGACCCTCTTGCCTGTGCCTCCCAAGTGCTGGGAGAGCAGCTGTGCACAACCAAGCCTGACATCTCCTCTTTCAACAGTTTACAGTAGCTATATTTAGAGATCCTGTATTGGCTCCTTGTCAAAGCTTTTCTTTACCCTTTTATTGAGAACACAGCCTTCACATGTTTCAGATAAGCAATTGTTTATTGTGCACAAGCAAAGACCGCACCTCTATGGCTCAAATGTTACTTTCTTGATCAAATTGGGTACAATCGAATTTAAAACACAGAGCAGTTTTATACCCTGATTCTTGTAACTTGTTTACAAGTCCATGAACTCCTTGGGCTTCTTGTTGAAGCAAGGACCCTATTTGGGAATTTTCTAAATTGATCTTGTGTTTAAATGATGTCTTTTTCTGAACTCAAAGTGCGTTCACTTCAGAACCAGGGATACTGGCTCAGTGGTAGAGTGCCAGCCTCCAATGAGCAAGGGTTAATCCCTAGCACCCACCCCACCCTAAAACAAAGTCTTACTGATTTGATTTTTTTAAAGCTCTTTGAGCTTTTTAACTAATCCTACCGTTTCTCTAATAATCTTGTAGACTTTTTGCTCTACAAATTTCTATTTAATAGGTGAATTAGAAAGCTGGCAATATTAGCATTCTTACCTTGGGGCACACAGTGTTTTGTTTAGAATCATGTGTCACTATGCTGTTTTTTCTTCTATGTATAACCAGAGGGCATAAAAAATACTAGAATATTTAATTCGGAAAAAAAAAATACAATCACACACAAGTAATATTTTAAATCTGTCATCAGGGTTTATAGAAAGTAGGAACATTTACTTTGGGGGTGCTCTAGAGGGTTATATTTACAGTATTCCCAGGGCTTTGTGCTAATTTACTCTATTTTTTGCTATTATTATTAATTTAATAAAATAACTGAATAAGGGGCTGGAGAGATGGCTCAGAGGTTAAGAGCACTGGCTGCTCTTCCAGAGGTCGTGAGTTCAATTCCCAGCACCCACATGATGGCTGGCCACCAGCTATGATGAGATCTGGTGCCCTCTTCTGGCGTACAGGCATACATGCAGGCAGAACACTGATGTACATAAAATGAAAAATAAATACATTTTAAAAAACAAATTTTTGTAGGTTGCTTTTTAAAGTATTTATTTCAAATATTGCTATGGGTTAATAGAAATAGCAAAGAACCAAAGAATTAAAATGCAAGCTATGTAACATGCCAAATAAAATCCAGAATCACTGGCTAACTAAAAGCCAAAGAAAGACACAATGCTCAACAGTTTAAAGTCCCACAAAACAGTTGGCAACTTTCAGTTCTCAAAAACTGTGGGTTTCATATTTTGTATCCTTTTATCAATCAAGAAAAAACTTTTTGAGTGTTATATAACACACATATAAAATAAGATATAAATGTACATTATAAATTTGTAACAGTAGTTGAAACTGTAATACATGTTTCTCAGTAGGCAACAGGTGGCGTATTGTGTTGGTTTGAATAAGAATGGCCTCCTTAAGCTCATATTTAATGTCTGCTTCCAGGTGGAACGTGTTAGGAGGTGTGGCCTCATTGGAAGAGGTGTGTCACACGGGGTAGGCTTTGAGGTTCCAAAAGGCGGAGCTATCCCCAGTCAGCTTTGCTTGCCCCTTGCTTGAGGATCAAGGTGGAAACTCCACACTCCTGCTGCTTCGCCACGCCCACCCGCCACACTCCCTCCAGCTGACGGCCACGAACTTCGTCCTCTGGAGCCACAAGCTCCAAATTAAATGCTTCCTTTCATTTAGTTGCCTTGGTCATGGTGTAGTGTCACAGCAACTGAAAAGTAACTAAGAAGTTGGTAGGAGAGCACAGGCTGTTGTTGTGACAGGCCTGACCATGTGAGTTTTGGGGGAAGACTGCGGAAGACTTTGGAACTTGGGACTAAGAAAGCAGTTGAATGCTAGGAGGGGCTTAAGGGGCTGTCCTACTAGGACCTTGAAGACAGTAGTGCTAAGAGCAATGTGGACTACAGAGGTCCAGCTCGAGAGAGTTCAGAGGTGAACAACATTAGCAACTGAACTACGGGTCTTATATTTTGGCAAAGAATGTGGCTTTCTCGTCCTAAGAATGTGCTAGAGGCTAAATTTCACTTCAAGGCTAGTTCTGATTCTGTCATATGGTTATTAATCACCCTTATGCAAGCCAACATTAAAAACCAGCAAGCAGGGCTAAATAAATAAATAAACAAACAAAATGCACAGTTTGAGGAGAAAAACACAACCAGAAAATGTAATGTTAGAGATAGGGATTGTGCTGGAAGGGATAAAGAGAGGCCTGATGTGAAATGAAGGAAAGAGTGGTTCGCTCAGAGTGAGACCCTACCCAGCTAACCCTCAACTTGGAAAGCAAGGCCTGAGGGGTTTTCTTACTCTAAAGAGCAACAACAAATTAAAGCTTATGCGGGTGTAACTTGAGGAGAGGACCAGGCTCCGTCCCTAGCAGGCATCAGTGTGGCAGCCTTCGCTTGTGCTTCTGGCTGGCGATCTTCCTGCCTGGCTAAGGAATGCTGCCGAGGCTAAGTGAGGTGCATACGGGGAACAGAATCGAGCTGCAATCTGGAAAGCTGCAATGGCAGAGCCTCCCAGCTGTTTGAAATCAGACATGACACTGTAGGATTTGGAGTTTGCCCTGTGCAGTTTTGGTCTGTCTTTGATCTACTGTGTCCTCAGGTGCCCCAATCCTCCCTTTTGGGATGAGGAAATATATGACTTTGGGGATGTCTGAGGTTGGACTAAGTATTTTGCATTATGCCACAAACCCATGGCAGCCAGAGAGTGGAAACTTCTTTTCAATTTCTGTGACTAGACATCATGCACCAGGCAACCTAGAAAAGAGAGCACTTAACCTGGGGCTCATGATTCCAGAGGGCTAGAGTCTAAGGCCATTGTGTGGGGGGGGAGCATGGTGGCAGGCAGGCATCACTGGAGCAGTGGGTGAGAGCTTACATCTTAATCCACAAGCAGTAGGCAGAGCTGACAGGGAATGACAAAAGCTTTTGAAACCTCAAAGCCTACCTGGAGCAACATGTCTATTCCAATAAGGCACACCTCCCAATCCTTCTCATACCGCTCCACCAACTGTGGACCAAGACTTCAAAAACATGAGCCTGTTGGGAGGCTGGAACTCACTATGTAAACCAGGCTTCACACACTTCTTTTTGTGGTAAATTGACTTTTTAACATTATTTTATTTTTTTCCTTCCAAAACATGGTTTATCGCTATAGCCTTGGCAGTCCTGGGCTCGCTTGGTAGAGCAGGCTGGCCTCAAACTCAGTCTGCCTGCCTCTGCCTCCCTGGGTGCAGGGATTAAAGGTGTGTGCCACCACCTATTTCCATGAAAGTGTTTGCGTCTATCTTAACAATAGTCTGCTTAGTTCTCGTTTTCCTCCTTGATAATATTTAGTCGGTTTTTCTTTTTGTTTTTGTTTGTTTGTTTTTTTTTTGTTGTTGTTGTTGTTCTTTTACTTTGAAGAGACACCATGACCATGACAACACTCATAAAAGAAAGCTTGTAGTTCGGGCTGGGTCCCAGCTTCAGAGGTTTACTCCATTATCGTCATGGCTGTGAGCACGATGGCCCGCAGGCAGACATGGTGCTGGAAAGATAGCTGAGCGTTCTAATCCAGATCCTCAGGCAGCAGGAAGACAGAGCCACTGGAACTGGTTGGGCTACCTCCAGTGACAGACTTCCTCCAAGGCCACACCCCATAATCCTTCTCAAGTAATGCCACTCACTGATCACTAAGCATTTAAACACAGGAGCCTATGAAGGGCATTCTTATTCAAACCACCACAAATGTTTTAAGAAAAGCTTTCTGTGCATGTATATGTGTATTTCATATATGTATAATGTGTGCAGGTCTGCATGAGCCACGCATGTGCAGATCAAAGGACAACTTGTAGTAATCAGTTCTCACTTTCCATCACGTGGGTCCTGAGGACTGCATCCAGCTGGGCCTGGCAGCAGGTACCTCAACCTGCTGAACCAACTAAGCTGGTCCATGGTATGCTTTGGCTTTTGGAGCACAGACTTTTTCCCTTCTGTAGCCAGCCAACTCCACTCCTGCCCATTTAAAAATATGTAAAAGTAAAACATAATTCACAATTTTGATATTCTTCATTTCAATTGATTCTTGAATTTGCTTTTCTTTTTAAATGATTTAGGAGCAGACATGATAAGTATACACAATGAGGAAGAAAATGCTTTCATATTGGACACTTTACAAAAGCAATGGAAAGGTCCAGATGATCTCCTGCTAGGCATGTTTTACGATACTGATGGTAAGTGGTATTTGCCCTGTAAAACATGATGGGGGGAGCTAGGGGGCTCCAGACAGGGTTTCTCTGTGTAGCCTTGGCTATCCTAGACTTGCTTTGCAGATCAGGCTGGCCTGGAACTCACAGAGATCCACCTGTCTCTGCCTCACTGAGTGCTGGGATTAAAGACGTGCACCACCATGCATGGCTACATGATTTTTTTTAAATGTTAATAAGACTTTAAGATGTTTGGTTCTTTAATTCTTTAGATCAACGGTGACCCCCAAAGCCATAAATTAATTTTCATTGTTACTTTGTAACTGTAATTTTGTGTTATGAATCATAATGGAAATTGTTTCTGATGGTCGTGAAAGGGTTCTTCATCCCCCAAAGGGGCTCTGACCCACCGGTTGAGAGCCTCTGTTCTAGATGAAATGCGTGTCTCCAGGTATTACGCTTTTCAGTGTGCGCCTATGACTAATACCCATGGTGTTCCCCAAGTTTCCCCATGGTGCTTCACAAATGGGAATCACAGGTGACCCTCTTACATGGGACACAGGGTTAGCATTTTATTAAGATGCCATGCATTACAAAAAGTATTAGGTTTGCTATTAACAGGGTAAAGATAAATTATCCCTTCCAGGTTGCAGAATAGGAGTGTGATTTTATTGATTTATTTAGGGTTTTCAAGGCAGACTTCCTGTCCTGGAACTCTCTCTGTAGACAAGGCTGGCCTTAAACTCAAGGGTTCCATTTCCTCTGCCTTCCACGTGCTGGGACTGAAGGTGTGCATCCCCACCGCCTGGTTATAATTTTTAGTATTATAAAAAACTACAAAGCAAATGTGTTTTGTAGTGTCTCTATAAGTATATAACCTATATAGTGTAGTATAATATATAAATATACAAAGTGTGCATATAATCAAAGACAGATATCAGTCACATTTTTAAATGTCAAGAAATGATTGCTATTAATGTTGAACTATTTTTATTTCACAAAAATGTTTTTCTTCGCAAAAGTGAAACCTTTCTCAGAATCCTTTTAAAAACAATACTTTTTGATTATATATAAATGATATGTTCCTTCTACAACTTTTAATCCTAAAAGCAAATATTAGACCATTAAATATGTTAGTAAGTTTCTACCTTTAATTGAAATATTTTCCTTTGGGTCTTAACACCTTTGAGAACTGTTATAATGTTCCTTAATTGACAGATTCAAGTTTCAAGTGGTTTGATAATTCAAACATGACATTTGACAAGTGGGCAGATGAAGATGTTGAGGACCTAGTTGACACTTGCGGTTTTCTGTACACCAAGACAGGTGAATGGAGAAAAGGAAATTGTGAAATTTCTTCCGTGGCGGGAACACTCTGCAAAGTAGCGAGTAAGTATGGCTGTCTTCTTCTAGTCTGGGAGAGATGGGGACACAGGGTTAGCTTTGGAATACTTTTCTTAGGTATACTGTATCTCAGCAACAGAGGGATTGAGACTTCAGAAAACAGCCTGATGATACACTACAGGCTCTTAAGTTTCAAAAGTGGAGCCAGACAGAATGTAATTCTATGTGCCTGCTCTCAGGAGTTCCTAAGAGCCTCAAAATTTCTTTTTTTCCCATTTTTTAAATTATTTTTTTACACTTTATTCACTTTGTATCCCCCCATAAACCCCTCCCTCCTCCCCTCTCGATCCCACCCTCCCTCCCCCAAAATTTCTTGTTTTCCAAAAGAATTTCCGTATCTTCTTTGCCTGTGATCCGACTGAGAAGTAGTAAGTAATAAATAATACATAATCTTAAAATACTAATATTACTTTAAGGAATTAGATTCCCTACAAAACTAGTATCTTTGTTTAGGTAAACAAAATATTAAAATTGCAGCATACTGCATGATTTATTCTGTATTAAAATATATTTTTCTGTTTAAAGTTTATTTTTCATATTTTAATTTTTGGTTTTTGAGACAGGGTTTCTCTGTGTAGACCTGACTATCCTGGAACTCACTATGTAAACCAGGCTGTCCTCAAACTTAACAAAATTAACAAGTTCTACAATATTTTCATGCTATTTGTTAAACATTGAATATAATTTGTAAAATTCTAAGCAACTATTTTCTCAGTAAGCAAACACAAAACACAAACTAGATATTTAAAACATGACTTTGCTGGTCACCAACCAGAAGTTTTATAGCACCTCAGCTTTAAACAGTTTTGTTTTATTTCATTCTCTTTATGTATGTGGGTGTTGTGAACTGGGCCTGAAGAGATGGCTCAGCAGTTAAGATCATTGGTTGCTTTTCCCAAGGACCCTGGTTTAATTCCAAGCACCCATAGCAGCTCACAACTGTCTATAATTCCAATCCTAAGGGAGCCAATGCTCTCTTCCAGCACCCAAGGGCACCAGGTACATGGGTACACCAGGTACTGAGACATGCACATAGACAAAACACACACACACACACACACACACAAACAAACATACATCTTAAAAACATTGCCCTCTGACCTCTACACTATATTAGGCAAACACTCAACCCCACAACCACCCCCATTCCTACCCACGCAAATCAGCTCTTTTCTTTTACTATACTTGAGGGCACCATCTCATAACACTTAATTTAAAAATACCTGAAAGAGGGACTAGAGACATGGCTCAGAGATTAAGAGCACGTGTTGCTCTTGCAGAGCATCTGGATTTGGTACCCAGCACATTCCAGCGAGTTCCAGGGGTGCTGGGGACCTCTGCCCACCTCCACACACACTAGACATGGGATGCTTGGCACTTGCATGTGCACACAACAGTCAGACACACGAACTCTCAAATTATCAACAAAACCACCACCAACCAAATCCACAGATGTTAAATTTTACATGTTTTCTACAGACTTTACAACCAGAATTTTATTTACCTCGTCTATTTTACTACCTCGCTTTTCATGAAGCTCCTTTATTCTTTTTCCAGCAACCAAGCCAGTGTGTTTTATCAGGCATAGATACCTGATTTTAAGAAACTAAATTCAAAATAGGTAAAATAGACTTGATGAAGCAGTGAAGATGGGGATGTTAACCTCAGAACAACTGTATATAAAGTAAATCTTCTAAGGCATCCTTACATTTTTAATTTTAATTTTCTTTTGCATTTTAGTCCCATATGACAAGAAATACTTATCAGGTAAGTAACATTCTGATCTTAAGTTTTTCATATTTAAATTCTAGCATACTAATACTACTGTAGACTCACTTAAAAATATTATGTAACAAAGAACTTTTTTTTTTTCTTCAGAATATAGGCAGGCCTCTTAGAGTAAGTCATCATGTTAGGGGCTGGAGAAATGGCTCTGGGTTAAGGGCACTGGCTGCTCTTCCAGAAGACCCAGGTTCCAGGATCCAGTACCACATAATTCACAACCTTCTATAACTCCAGATCCAGGGGACTTGATGCTGACTGCTGGCCTCTTTGACATCAAATGTGTATAATACGCAGACATACATGCCATCAAAACACCCATACATATAAAATAATTAAATTTTTAAAAGACCTGACATTTAAAGTCCATCATGCATGAAAAGGACTCCTTTTAAACAATGTCTTTTTCTGTAGGACTACATACTGTGTAAAGGCTTCATCTCAAACTTGTAAGTACGGTTCATAAAGCATGTCTTTTGATGGACCATAAGTGCATTTAGGACTCAAACCTCTTTTGTTTTCAAGAAAGGGTCTGTGTAGCCTTGGCTGTCCTAGAAGTCAGATCCGCATGCCTTTGCCCCGAGTGCTGGGATTTAAGATGCGCACCGCCACTGCCTGGCTTAAATGCACTTTTCCAGGGGAGCTAGTCTGACATGATTTGAATTCAAACTTACATAAGGCAAACATGGCCCTGATCTGTGTTACTGTAGCTTACCCTTATTGGGCACCCTTCTACTCAGGTTCTTCTTGAACTCTTTGAAGCTGGAGAAGGGTGCAGGGGAGAGGAGAGTATTGCAAGCAAACTGAAACATGTGACCTACTTTGCCCCTCTTCATTAATAGCTTAGTGGTTTTCACCATCTCATTACCTCTATAAAATATAAACTGCTCTGCACTTCCTGCCAGCGTGGAGGCATATATTTACCAGTGTGAAACTTCCACTTGGACATTTCCAATATTTACTACTATAAAAAAAAGTCTCAATAAATGAATCACCTTACACAAACATGTTTGTTTAGAGGCTAGAAAATTTAAAATACAACCTGTAACTTTGATAGATATTGGTCTTGGCATAGAATTGCACTGTTTTGCGTTCCCAGTAGCATTGGGTATCTGCTGTGAAAGTTTCCACTGTTCATCAATTAGTAATTTTTAACTTTTATATTATTAGGTATAATTGGGGCAACATGCATTTTGGAGGAGAGGGTTGGTTGGTTTCTTTGGTTTTTCCATGTAGCCTTGGCTGTCCTGGACTCCCTTTGTAGAGTAGACTGGCCTCAAATTCAGAGATCCACCTGCCTCTCCCTCCCTGCACGCTGGGATCAAAGGCTTGCGCCACCACACCCAGCTAATTGTGTGAATTTGTTTGTTGCTTCCTTGTTGAGACAGGGACCATGCAGCCCCGGGAACTTGCCATAAGATCAAGCCGGCAGGAACTAACACTGATCCAAATGCTTTTGCCTCTTCAGTTATATCATGTATTCGTCCAGCTTTTCACTCTGGAACTTTGTTAATGTTTGCACACACCATTCCCCCTCATTGCTTAGCTGTTATTTTATAGACACTTTGCCCTTGCTTTTGTAATTTTATTCTTTATTATTATTAGTTTGCCCTTGCTTTCTAATGGTCTGATTTCTACTTTGGAAGAACATGAACAGAGCTATCTATAAACATTCTCCTCTTTTCTTGACCAACAGTAACTATATCCCAAAAAGTGTATGTCTTGTAACAGTTAAGGTAAAAACTATGCACCTTCTTAGTGGTAAACCTGTCACCCTGCCAACAGTGAGGCATGGGCGCTGCGTGCTTTACACTCGTGATGGTGGTGTCCATCGTTCTCTCTTCAGACATTCATGTAGGCATACAATGAACTAATTTTATTTTTCTGATGTTACTCACTTTTACATTTTCTTTTGTGAAATGTTTGGTCAGGTCTTTTAACCATAATTCTACTAGGTTGTTCTTCTGATTAACCATTTTTAAATAGTTTTACGTATGAGCCCTTTATATATAAAACTTGCTTTGTGCTTAGTTTCTATTAGTCTGCTATCATACAGCTGTGTGAATTATCAAAAATGTGAGTCACGCTTTCATTTTTCTATAGGAAAACAAAGGGCAGCATTGTAAAAGAACCACTTCACACCTGTTATCTGGCTACTAACAGAGAAAGGAAGAAACAATGGCTTTGTGTTATCAGGGATGTGGAGAAATTACATTTGTGCATTAACATAAAATAAAAGATGGTGCAGCCAGAGTAAAAGCAGGCAGCTATTTCTGGATATATACCCAAGAGAAGCGGAGACTCTACACACCTGCATTCACAAATACGGTCATATTTGTGACTGTCAAAACATGGAAGTAACTCACGTGTGCATCAACAGATGGATGAGTAAAATATACCAACTGTTACTCAACCCCAAAGGAAAATACACAACTCTGGAGGACACAATAATTAATGCAAGTCAATCACAAACAGGCAAATATGTCCTTCTTAGTGACTTCACTTACAACAGAATAGTTAACTTCACAGACAAATCTAGAATGATTACATAATTATTTTTTTCTCATGTCAAGAGCTAGGGAGAGGAGTGAGAGTTACTAAGTTTCAGCCACAGACCATGTCTATAGATGGTTGGCGATAACAACTTGATTTACTTAGATCTAACTTAAAAAACAAAAGTAGTTTGTTATTTGGAAACAAGACAACTAACAGTTAATTCTGAGAAATAAATATTAAGGGGTTGAGTACTGGAATAAAAGCTCTTATTTCTTCTAAGACCTTGTGTTAGGTCCAGCTAATCTAATAATGGCTGTCTACCAACACAAAGTCCAGGAAGCCAGTAGCACTTCAGTCCACAAAACTGATGTCTCAGCTGATCCTTGGTATACGCTGAAATATCAAAGCAGGCTCTACTGCCACTGAAGGAACACACCAGTAAGAGGGCAAAGAGCAAAAGCTTTTTCTTCCACATCCTTCATATAGAAAGGATAAGCCACTAAAGATAGCTCTTCTTACTTCAAAAGATCAGTATACTATTTCCCTCCAAAGATTTCTTACAAGACTTTGTAGCTGTATAGACACACACACACACACACACACACACAATGTTTATTTACTTAGTTTTCTAAGATAGGGTTTCTCTGGGTAGCTCTGGCTGACCTGGAACTCATTCTGTAGACCAGCCTGGTCCTGAACTTAAGAGATCTGCCTGCCTCTGCCTCCCAAATGCTGGGATTAAAGGTCTGCACCACCGCTGCCCAGCTGCTGTATATTTTCTAAAGAATAAAAGAACATTTAGAAAGTTGTAAAGAAAAAGAGCAGACAAGTCTATCACAGATCTAAAAACCATGCAACAAACAGTGGGATAGCCTGCACATTTGGCTTTTAGACTCCAAGGCAAGTACAAATTGGTATCTAAATTAGACCTCAATCATAAAGCTGTAGCAAAGCAGAAAGATTTGAAGAAAAGAATTGCCTAATGCACAGACAGGTTTTGTTTTAATTTAGGAGTAACAGGCACACTGAGTTAAAACAAGGAAACAGAACTGTAGCAGTTTTAGTGAACAGCGAGTTCTCTGTGCAAACGAAAGATGGAAGGCCTTGAGAATGCTGTGAAGGGAATCTGGGGTGATGGAGGGGTGCTCTTGGTGTGTTGAGCACCTGCGACATGGAATAGGCCACTGCAGATGAACCAGGGTAGTTAGACCATGAAGAAGTATTTCACACAGAGGAGAAAGGCTATTCTAGTGCATACAGCAGCAAAGGTTTGGAGCTTTTGCTATTGCTTGTTAAACAGATTTGGGAATCTTGCTTAAATCATGTCCAGAATGAACTGTGTACAGTAGACAATAGCTTTAAATAGTTTTAAATGATAGATTGCAGTTTTGCCTTCAATGACGCGTTACAGCTTTGGTACGAAAATGACACTTTTAAAAGTAGCAGCTAGTAAACAAAAAGCATTGCAACTCATTCATAGGAAACTTACAGAACATGAAAAAACAAACACACTGTGTCCCACCAATCATAAATGCTCATACTTAAACTAAAAGGTCTTTTAATTTTGGTTAAAAATGTGATTATGTATCTGTAAGCAATTTGAAATTACCATGCTGCTCTTTCAGCCTGAAAGTTACTGTTTCTCCAAATCTCTGAAACCGTGTCACCACTAAAGTGTATCCTACTAATCATGTTATTGCGCACCAACAGCCTCAGTGTGTCCACAGGGGTCAAGTCAAAGTGTAAACATAACAGTTCGGAAGTCTTCGCTTTTTGAGACACAAGTTGACCTCAAACTCTGTAACTGAGAATGTCCTTTAATTATGTGTGGTCTTTTTTTTTTTTTTTAAGATTTATTTTTTTATGTACACAATGTTGTGCCTGCATGTACATCTGAAAGGCAGAGGGCACCAGTCCCTTTATAGATAGTTGTGAGCCACCATGGGGTTGCTGGGAATTGAACTCAGGACCTCTAGAAGAGCAAGCAGTGCTCTCAACCTCTTAGCCATCTCTCCAGCCCTGTCCTTTGTTTTTATACTGGTTATCCCCACAAGACACTTGGCCAGATTTATCCCATTCATCTCTAACCATTTTAGGTCACATTTTAAGAAGCACCAGGTGAAATACTGTATGTAAATAAAAATTCATCTGCAAAGTTGTGAATAATTTTGAATCCTTTATTAGAACATGTTAAACAGCTACCATCCCAATTACTAATTTGTTAAACTGAATTTTTATAGAAAGATCCATAGTTTTGAGTAGGAAACAACTAAAAGATTGCACACTTGTAAATTTCAGGAATCCACAAAGTTTTAAACAAAAAAACCCACAAATCCAAAGGACTGTAGCTCTTAATACTATTTCTGCAAAACAAATCACAAACATCAAAGCCAGACATACCATCAATGCCCCACTGATGAGTAGGTATGAATCTAAAATCTTGGTTTTTAGTAAGGAAGGGGAAAAGAAAAGGATGTAAGACAGACCACAGAAAATGGTATCAGGAGAGCATAGATCTAAAAGGTCTTCATTGAAAAATTCAAGTGTGGCTATTTTTCCCACAAACACAAATTTTTAAAATTATTTTATTAATTTTTACGGTGTATACACACGATGGGCACCATGGCATCCTCATGGAAGTCAGAGGACAACTTGCAGCGGTCAGTTCTCGCCTCTCCCATGTGGGCCTGGATTATCAGTCTTGGCAAGAACCCTTACCCACTGAACCCTCCTGCCTATCCAGGAAAAGCATGTAACTTTTCTTATCAATTGGGAAATTCTACCAAAAAACCAAATACATGATGAAACGACAATGCTCTAAATGCAATATTTCTATCCTATACTGATTGTCTTTTTCTTTTCTTTTCCAGATAACCACATTTTAATAACAACTCTGGTGATTGCTAGCACAGTAACTCTGACAGTTTTGGGAGCAATCATTTGGTTCCTCTATAAAAGAAATGCTTGCTCGGGCCTCATCCTGTTTCCAGCCTCACCACAATCACCTTACAGTGACGGCTGTGCTTTGGTAGTTGCAGATGATGATGAATATGCTTTTCAGCTGGACTAAGATTTTGGTAATATCAGACCAGCATAGCAAATACACTGACAATGATTTCCTAGACAAGATCTTCATATAAAAGTTGCCACAGAAAACGGAAGCATTTATGATTCCTTATTCTTATAACAATATTTTCATATGCTGTCTGTGACAAAACATTAACATTTTGGATCATTAAAAAAAAAAAAAAAAACTACCACCACCACCTAGGTTTTAGAAAAGGAACAACCACAGATCTAACTCTGACGATTTTCATTTGAGTACATAAAAGCTCCAAGTACAATAAAGCTAATAAAACACAGCTTACTGCCTGGTCTTTTTTATTCCTCTATCTATTCAGTTACATTTTATCCTTTAACAGCTCCACTCCTTACTAACTGCACCAGGATCAAGCTGGACAGAGCCTGTACACTTCAACAGCTCTTACTGGCTATGGTGAAAATCAATTCCTTTGTAGTTTCCTTTTAAGAGGAAGGTATTTTATAAGTTTTAATACTCCAAACTCCACACTTGTTCATAGTTTCATTCCTGTATAGATGATTTGGGACTATTATTTAATTCTAATCAAATAATTCTGTTATAGAGTCTTTCAGAGAAAGGACTACAGCACTAGTGAGATGGTGGCCAGCTAGGTTAACCTGTGTGTCCTTTGACCAACAGTTTCCTAGACTACCCTTTTATCTTTTCCTACATAAGGCTGATCATCTGCCACACTCTAAGAAAATTAGTATCTTTTGATGGCATGAAAACCATGCGTGCCCCAAAGGGGGAGGGGGAGACGGGACACAAGTACAACTCCAGGGATTATGTTCGGGTTCAGGTACACTTACCATACTTTTAAAGACGAGTTAACAATTCATTGACAACAAAAAATGAAGGAAAGCTTAAGTAATTCTCATTTCCTTTAGCAGTTTTCAATCTCAGACACAGCACTACTTCTTATCCTACATGTCAGTGGCCACTGTGAACCAGGAACACCTTTGTATCACAATTAGGGACACTACTTATTTCCATAAACTATTTCTCAGACAGTCTATGAAGTGGAGAGAATCTTCAAACTTGCATCTAGTAGCAGTTCTAACCACAAAAAGGGGATAGGTAACTTACCAAGAGCGACGTGACACTAAAACAGCCAATGGTCTATCAGTTGACACCAGCTGTATGTCTACCTTACTGGTAGTGATTCAGAGTGCTAACAGTAAATGCTACTTTTCTTCCTGTTCTTTTAGTAACTGGTATCAATGCTATTACCTCCAGAAAACTGATTCATGTGGCTCTTTAAGTTAAAATTAAATACGGTTTAAAATTCATCCACTCAATTCTATTAGCTGCATTTTAAGTGCTCAACTCACACACGGTTTGATGTCATATGGGGCAGCATGCAGAACATTTCATTATGAAGTAGCACCAAATAGTGTGTGTACAGAACTAATTTAGACAAGTGCTACCTAACGACATTCTAAAAAGTTGAGTTTGAAGTTATTTGATCAATGTGTGACTTCATTTTCAACTGGTCTACAGGCACCAGTAAACGCCAAACCTTAATTGTATGTGTGTATGGTTATGTATGCTGGCATAACACGGGTGCAAGGCAAGGGATGCCATTCCTTAGGCTGGTTTTTTTGTTTCTTTGTTTGTTTTTGGAGCAGGTGTGTCTGGCTGGCAAGTTAATTCTGGGATCTGTGTACCTCTGACCCCACAGCACCATGCGCAACAAAGACCAGTCTAAACAACAACAACAACAGACAGGATCGTCACGCTATACTGAGCAATCTTCCTGGCCCTTAATTTTCTTTACACATTAAACCACTAATTATTGGTAAACTGCCAGATGAACCATCACAACCATTATTTACTTTTAGCATTAACAGTAATAAGATAGCCTAATCAGGTGCACTCAGAATGAAGAAGCTGCTACACCATGTCAATGACAATGGGATTGGGAGAAGATTGCAAGGCCGGCCTAGTGCACAAGAACAACATGATCGACCCTAAGTCCTGACAATGTATTTATTTTAGGAAGATATAGGTATACAGAGTTAACATTTTAAGTTACATCTTTATCGTTTAGTCTCTTGACTTGTCTAACTTAAAACTAACAACCCATGAGCCCTTCCTCACCCACTTCTGGTTTCCGTGCTGTGCACGGCGCACACACCTGTGCACAGGCCTACGTACAGAGGTCAGAGCAGCACAAATACGGCTGGCAGTCTCTCACACAATCCCAGAATTCCTCCCGACTTCACCTCTTCACAGCACTGGGGCTTTGTAGACACAAGGGCCAACAGGGACCTAACTCCGGTCCCCAGGCTTTCACAGCACGCACTTACTATCTACTGAGACACGGCCTCTCAGGCCCACCCCCATCCTCAGATGGTCACGTTAGCACTTACCAACGAGTAGTTAATAACAGATTATGTATGACTGAATTACAGAACATTTTTGCCGTGTCAGAATTTGGTGGGTTAAGAAGCTAAATTTTAATGTGAAGTTTATAAAAGTATTTTATATTTCAAATTCAGTTCCTAAGGAGAGAAAATGTTTAAATTAGCATTCTTAAATTTTGTGCTTTTGCTTAAGACAATGCACTGAAAACAAAAGTTGAAAGCATGTTCAGGGGCTGAAGAGATGATGGCTCAGGGTTAATTTAAGAGTCTCTACTGCTCTTACAGAGGACCTGGGTTCTGTCATCAGCGCTTACACAGCAGCTCAAAGCTACTCTAACTCCAGTTCCAGGTGATCCAAAGCCATCTCTGGCCTCCAAAAACACTACAAGGACTTAGTGCAAAGTTATATAGGCAGGCAAAACACTTATACACAGAAAATAAAAAACTTGAAAAAATATTTGAAGATTAGTGTATGAAATAAAACTGTATGAAGTTTTAACTAAATTCTTCACTAAGGAGTTTAGAATTTCTCGTTGAGGACCAGTTTAAAATGAAAAGAGTTCAAACTAAAATAAATCAATCAGTATCACTTTATTTCAAGCCAAGATTTTACATTAAGACCAACAAACTAAGATAAGTGTAGGCAAACTGTTCATTCACATTTGAGAAATTACATGGTTTCTATTTAGGTTTTGCAAAAATTGTTTGTTGCCACAACATTGGACTAATCTGAAACCACCTGAAAGTGTAAATGTATATCGTAAGGGCGTTGACAGTGGAAACAGTTATGGAAGTTTACACAACTTATGACCATAGTGCAAACTCATTCATGTTGAGTAATTCATCTGTTTTGCAAAGGTAGTGAAAAATATTAACAATCATCAAATAAATGCTCAGAATTACCAAGGAACAGCTAAAAATGACCAGGATCCAAATAGGTTATTTGTATTTCTATATAAAGTGACAACACTAAAAAACACATTGAAAACCAGTGTTCTAAACTTTGAATGTGGGCTTTAAAAAAATAATCTGTTAACTTGAGATTTTCAATAATTTTAACCAAATATCATTTGACTGGCAATTGATATAATTAACAGCTGTAATATTCCTGAAAGGAATACCTACATACCATGGCCTATCAAATATAGTCTGCATTTTTGCAAATCAATACAAAAATTATCCATCATTTCTACATCTTTTACATACTTTTTTCTTAAAAATTAGGTTTTATTGCTAAGTGAATTTAGAATTCAAATTAAATTTGGAAACCTAATAATAATGCTCTTCAAACTTCCCATTCTTTAAAAAAAAAAAAAATTAAACACTGGAAGTAAATGATTATCAAAATGTGGCTGTAACTTAAGGCATTTAAAAAGGAAAACTAATTAGGTGCCATTGGCATTTTATTTCAAAAGTACATTTTATCTGACTTTTTTCACTAGCAAGAGACTAATACACAAACATTTTTTTTCCCATAAATATGACTACAGTAATCGTAACACAGAAAAAAGTTGATGAGCATTGCTTAGGTATTTAAAACAAGGGTAATAATGCTTTCCCACTCACCGGAAAGAAAAACTGTTTTTGATTACATATTATAAACATAAGAGTTGCTGGCCAGTGTTAAAAGGTCCAGCTGAAGAATTTCAATTCAGCAACACTTGAGAATGAATATATATTTACATTTATACATGTATGTATATATATTCATTTTTATATATAGTCAATTTATCTAATAGGCATTCCCTCACAAAATTATTCATACTTAATTGCCAGTTTTAATAAACATGTTCACAGATCATCCATTTGTCTTAAATGAAGTTAGGCAATATCAAATGTTCTGCTATGGTCTCCATCTTCTTCAGAATCATCCTCTGAAGCTGTTGAGAGAAAACAGGATGATGAAGAATGATTTTTAAGGGGTACGATAATGACTTGTAAACATGAAGCCAGAGCAGCAATGACTTAATCCCAATTTAGTATACTGTTCGGTCGAAATGGTAAAAGTTATCATGATAGTGTTAGGGTGGCTTGACTGTCGGTGATACCCATTCACAATATCCCCACCCCCACATCTTTTTGTGATGTTATATAGTTTCCATATAATGAAAATGCTTAAAAATGTAGTTTAAGAGCATCTTTTAAGAAATGTTTCTGAGCCCAGTTTGTGTTCACAGTAGCTAATGATATGTCTATAAACATACACCAGAGGAAAAGTGAATTTGAGGCAAGTGCTCTCACACACCTGAGTAGAATCTGGCTTATTACCGCTGCATGTTTGATGCATCCGATGAGAGTGAAAAAAAATGTACATAGAATAACAGGTTATGGATGTTCTTGCAAGTTACATCAAAGCTATGTCTATACAATGCCAAGGAAAAGCTCTATTGAGTAAGTAAAGCTTTATATAGACACAGCCTATCTTAATCTGATTCAGAAAAAAGAAAACAAAACAAAAAAACCAACAACAAAAAACCTGCTGTTGAGATTATCCCAAATGCTCAGAAACATCATTTTTAAAAATAACATTCCTAACCTCAATTTTTTCAGTGTCTACTACTGACAGAGAATTAATATAAAGCATCCTGGAATGCCTTTGAGATAGCTAAGGCAGTAAGAACTTATGTATTATATAACCTGATTATTTGTTAGAGAAAATCTAAGTTCTTTGGAATAAACATCTAACTGATAGCTCTTCAGTATTATCAAGAGCAGAAAAGCTTAATGTGTATGTACTCTAGGATACTGGATCAACTCAAAGGAAGGGCAAAAAAACTGTTTAAACATTTATGGATAAATCTACATGTAATAAGTCATAGCTAGCTCATGACAGATACGAACCCTGTTGTGAAGTTCTGTATCACAGGATATTGCACTGAACAGGGAATGTCATGTTTTCTAGGTGACTGACTCCACAGAACACAAATCAGCTGATTTTCAGATTATAACAATATTCTAGTAATCTGAGATTCATTTGAGGCACCACCACCTCCCCTTGTCAGCTTAAGTTGTATGCATTTTACCTCCGTCTTTGTCTTCTCTCGCATATAGGGAGAAGACCATGCCATGTTTACGAATTTGAAATGAGAATATTTTTTAAAAGTTAAGAAACCTTGGGGAAAATAAACTAATGACCACCATATCATCTACCAAAATATAAATTATAATGTTCCGAAACAAAGCTAAACTTTTGTATAAGCCAATGACACATTTTTATGAATGTTATAAAGTTAAAAAAAATCACAGTGAATATCAGTTCTAACTGGCTAGTTTCAAATAATTAAAAAACTAAAAATGTGCTGTCCGATTTTATTTCAAATCCTGTCAAAACCTAAAATTATAGACACAACAATACTTCTTTCTAGAAGGCCATGTCTTAAAACACTGAAGAAGTAAAAAGTTTTTATGAGGACTGGATTCTTTTCACATTATTTCCGAAGGATGCTAGTCTCCTAAAGGTATTACTCTTACACACCTTATAGGTTAACAGGTATTCTAAAGACGGAAGTGCATTATCAACATGAAAATACACATTTGAGACACTTAGGACTGTACTGCTAGCTCTGGTAGGCATCAGACGGGTTTAAATCTTCCCCAGAAACTGTTCTAAAGCCAATTGGTCCCTGTGTGGTCTGAAGCAGCACAGATGTGCTGTAACACATCAGAAGACAGCAGGCTGGGGAAACGCCTATAAGACCTGGGACTGTGTGTCACCACTTACAGAGCCTCACAAGGTGATCCTGAGAAATCCGAGCTGCCTATGCACTAAAAGCTCACAAAGAGCTATCTGTAAGTAAAGAAGAATACACAAAACCCTTCTGTTAGGGACTTTGGCCTCTTTTTCTTATTTTCCTGGAACCAAACACAAGCCTAAAGAAAACCTTTCATGATCTGAAACTGAATAAAAAGTAAATTTTCTTCATATATTAAAAAATACAAAGCCTTAACAGAAATTATTTAGTAGCTAAGTTTGTTTTCCTTTTAATCACAAATAATAAAATCAGAGTGGTTTACTGAAAATATTAGTGGCTAACATTACCTCCTTCCACAACTTAAACATAATTTAAAAAAATATTTAAAGAACTAGAGTCTATTATCCAATCCATATTATCCAAATCAATAATTATAGTAGTATTAAGCCTAAAACCAAAGCTCAATTTGGTACAAAAGAGTAAGTACACTTAGGTTTTTTTTTTCTGTGGGTTTAATTTGCAAAAGTAAATTCAACAAGTCTGGGGAGGGAAAATTCCACCTACTTTCGAGATCTTCCATATGTGCCTGAAGAGTTCTTGCAAGGTTAATAAACTAGAAACAATGCAGAAAGAAATACAGTAGTTTAAATGTTGCAAATGGATCTAAAGAGAATCAGTTTAGGAGATTTATTTGTACTTAAAGTCAAACACCATCTTAATCCTTTAAACAGGGTCTTTCTTCCCCAACAACAAAAATTATAACATTAAGGATACTGTGTTACATTTTATATAATCACTATTAATCCCGGGGAAAACAGCATCATGAAATTGGGAGCAAATAAAATCAAACAATTTTATCCAATAAAATACTGTCTTCCTAACATTTTAAAATATTATGAAATCAAAGAAGGGAAGAAGCAAAACTTTGTTTTCTGGGTCCAAATGAACTGATGTTTGCTTGCCTACATTTGATTGCTGTATAGATGTATACAACTCAATGCTTGTAAAATAAAATACTAAAAATAACTCCTACTGTAGTCTTAACTTTAACTTTATTTATTTTTTTTCAGAAATGCTGAATTCAATAGACCTTCCTTTATAAGCTTTCTATGTTTGTTTCATTCACAAGAATTAACACACCATTTTAGAAATTATTTTATGGTATTAACTCCAAATAGGGTCACATGACTTCTGAAGTACTTAAACATTAACAGAAAACCTAAGAGCACCCATAATTACAGCACATCAGTTTTCTTTATTGTTAGAGAATGTAATTATCAACTGAGTCACTTCAATATCCATCTAATGAGGAAGCACATGAAAGTAGTAACTTAGAATAGCAACATGTATTTTGAATTATACTTTTTATCATTTTAAAGATGAAATCATTGTACATTAACATGAACTTTAAGTTTTATATATTTAAAAATTATAAAAATGGTTAATTTCACATATAGTTTACTGAATTATGAACACATTTCAAGATAGGAAGTGTTTAGAATGTTGCAATAAGACAAAAATACACAAAATGGACAAGGCAATAGAGTGTAAATTACTTCTGATTCACTGAGGCAAAGACACTGATTAATTATAAATACCTAACAAAAAGCTAGCTTAAAGATACAGTTAACATTGAACATTGTTTACAGCCACTAGTTCCTTTCTTAGTTGGTAATGTTAGAAAAGGGTAACCCTTGACAGAATAACAAACAAACAGTTCATCTTTCATATTCTTTTGGCCTCTGGAACTCAATTTCACGTTTCTAAGATGTAATGCTAAGGGATTTCTTTCCATAAATTAAAAATAATGTTTTTCTGGGTGTTTTCAATTCTGACTGTTTCTCCTTGAAATATTTTACTTGCAAGAGCTGAAAAATCACTTCTTTCTCTAAATGGCCTATGACAAAATTAGGATATTTGTTATAGAAGACAGCACTTTCCATTAAATATAGACTATTTACACTGTTAAGAAATATTTGAAAGTAGGGTCTCCCACAAAGAAATCAGGATATGAACACGAGACAAATTCTTGTCGCACCGTACCCTCCCCTTTCCCCAAGGCCATACTACTTACTCGAACACGAGTGCTTGGTTCAATTGTATTTCCCATCATATCAGAGAAGCTTTGTTCACACAAGTGCAGTAAGACAACTAGGTAGAGACCAGAGCTGATAAACTCATATTCAGCCTTAAAGGAGGAAGCAAAGAGAAGAAACAGAGAATGAAAATTAGGATTGTGACTGATAGCCACTGTTTACTGATAAACTAAAGGAAACGTATTCAGACACAGCTCATAAAAAGGTTTATCAAAATGTAAGGCTGCCTTACACAGGTCAATCTTTCCTCAGTCTACCTCCTTTTAATCATTTATATAAAAGTTTACCCTTTAAAGCATTTGATGAGGTAATATTAGCTTTCTATAAAGCTAACAGATTTCCTTTTATAAGGGACTAATAATTATTTCAGTTTACTTAAAAAACTTACTGTTTCATTTAACCTAAATCTATAGTGTGTACTATTAATTTATACCAAACGTGATATACAGCAGTTTGGGTTTTGGTTTAGTTTAAAGGTGATACATACAAACACACATTGATACTGGCATCCTTTTTTGGCCACCTTGGGAGTAGAAGACTGAGAAATTCTAAATAGTTTCAAAACACAGTATTATGTGTATCCTCCTCCTTTATCTTTTCTCCTTCTTGCCTTTTTTGGTGGTCCTAAAGAATGCACTTAGTATCCTAGGAATGCAGACTAGCATTCTACCAATATAAACATAGCTCTGGAAAAAAAAAAAAAAGATCCACTCTGTCCCTTTAATTTTTATAGTGAAGAGTCAATTGTATGTGCTTTGAATAACAAACACATCTGAAATTAAGAACTGTATGCTAATATTAATTTTTTAAAATGTTCATCAAATTCTACCTATCATTAAAAATTGAACTTAAATATTAAAAAGTTTAATGATTTTGACATTTATTTTAACTGAATAAAATCATGTATGTGGAAAAGGTTTTTTGGTTTTTATAATATACATGGTTATAAACTAGGCATGGTGGCACACACGTTTAATCACATCACTCAGGGAGGGGGGAGCTATATAGTCAGGTAGATATGAGTTTAAAGCTAGCCTGGTTTACACATAGCAGGATCCAAGTCATCCAGAGCTATGCTATGAGATCCTGTGTCAAAACAAAATAATTGAACAACAATCAAATTTTACATGCTTAGCACATTGCAAAAGATAAAATTAAAAAGGAGTAACATTATATTAAACTAATCACTTAAAATTAAGATAACTCTAGCCACTAGAATCCATGATTCATATATAAAATAAGTCCAAGTCTTTACAATGACTGAACCTGTGTAAGAATGCAGCTCATTCAAAAGATCAAATAAAAATACAAACTTTTAAATGAAAAACATGTGACTTAGTTTAAGAGAGTCAAACATCTAAGGATGGCAAGAGAAAATAACTGTGACTTCTCTTTGTAGGAGACAATACCACATGTCTCTGTATCGTTCCACCTTTCTTAATTTCCTTATTCTTTAAGATATTAATGTTCAGGTGCCTGAAAATTTTAACACTATCACTATACTGAGTGGGTTTCTTTTGCACAACTAGCTCATTAGAGAATGAAACATTATAACTGGCATAAAGTAACACTATACTGTAGCAGCTACTGTTTTGTTCTTCTGATCAGTGATTCCTTATGTTTTGGTCTGGTTTTTTGTTTGTTGGTGGGTTTCTCTCTGTAGCCTTGACTGTCCTGGACTTGCTTTGTAGCCCAGGCTGGCCTTGAACTCACAGAGATCTGTCTGCCTCTGCCTCCCCAAGTGCTAGGATTACAGGTATATGCCACCACTGCCAGGCTCTGATCAGTGACTCTTAAACCTGGACTTATGCAATTACTTTCAAGTGTTGAGAGTATACTAAATCATGTATAGAATTTATATTTGTATGCTGTAAATCCAGGGATTTTATCAGGCCTTCAAACAATATCTGTTTCACATTATGTTTTTAAAATTTATTTTATGTGTACATATGCAAATTTTTATGTGGGTATATGCAGGTGAGTGTTAAGAGTCCTCAGATGCCAGTTGTGAGCCATCCAACATGGATGCTGGGAAAAGAACTTAGGTCTTCAAAACATCATTCACAAAAATACCTTATACTGTGTGATTTTGTCAACATGGATTACCCTGAGCTGGTAAATCTATAATACACTGCCAGGCAGTGGCGGCACAAGACCTTATCCTAGCACCCTGAGGATGGAGGGGGAGAGAGAGGGAGACAGGCACATCTCTGAGTTTTGTGGCCAGCCTGGTCTACAAAGTACGTTCCAAGACAGCCAGGGCTACACAAAGAAAACTTGTCTTGAAACTCAACCAACAATCATCCAACCAAGATTGGTTCCTGATATTGAGTAACATATTGGTAGATGCCAGGGAGTTAAGAGAAGGAAACAAGGAACCACTGAGTAATGGATTTATTTTTGTTGTGATGAAATAGCCCTCATACTTCCCTTGAACATGCATGCTTCTCCTAGAATTTTCCTTCAACAAGGAGGAAAAACAAAGGGTTGTTCCTTCCAACTAGATCATTTAATACTGGAGTAATAAGGTTGGCATCCCAATTTCCTAAACTTCTATTCATTTTTAGGTTTACTGACAGTTTTAACTTAGTCTTTTATTTAAAGGGAATTTTTAAATTAAATTATAAATTCATATCTTAGGAATTATGATAAAATTATTAATGCAGGTTTTCTGACCATGACTTAATCTTTTCTTCAAGAGCGGTCACTTAAGCACACAACAGACACTTACCAAATTAGGCAAAATATACTAACTTGTTCATTTGCATGAGCTCTATGTAGTTCATGGATATCAAAATCCTCCAGGTTAAGTTGCAACTTCTCTTTACAGAGTTCGCAGGTGGTTACAGCCTCTAGTGAAGAACCTGACAAAAAATCCAATTGCAAATAATAAAGCTTTTCTGTCCTAAGTTCAAGGTTTGAAATATTGGGGCATAGAAAGCATGAAAGATGAGATCACAATATTGTAATAAATAAATAATGTATGTAAAATGATATACAATGACAAATAGGCATGTCATGTTCTATACTGTGATATTCATGTCTCCACCCATCATTAGATACCTTTTTTAAATCCTGTATTCATACATCCTGTAATTAAAGGAATCTGACAGTGAGGCAAAGGAATGTTACCTGTACTTCATACTTCCTCCTGAAGTATACTGATATATCATGAAAGTAATGTTTAATGACGTAGCATCACAAACACTAGTTACAGACTCAGAGCACTATTTTTGGTATCGCATGTGGGCTAAGCAATGTGCCTGCCCTACTGACTAGGAGAGGTAAAAAGAGCTCACCTTTGTCCAGATAAAAGGAGCTCATTTCAGCAACTAGTAGAATTAAGTCCTAAAATATTTTATCATATGGTTGAACCCAAGATATGTCAATAAAGAAGACATAAAAAGACAAATACTTTACTATTTCATTTATATGGTACAACCAGAATATGCAAATATAAAGAGGCCAACAACAGACCACGGTTCTCAGGGACGGTGAAGAGGATGACAAGCAGAGAGTTACAGCTTACTGACTATAAAAATTTTCTATGATGGGTTATGAAAAAGTTTTTAAAGCTGACTACTGAAAATTACACACTGTAAAATGGTCAAAGTGGTTAATTTTCTCACACACATAGTATTTTTTTAAAGATTTACTTGTTTAGTATGCAATATTCTGCAGTGCAAATATGCCTACATGGCAGTATCTCGTGATAGATGGTTATGGACCACCATTTGGTTGCTAGGAACTGAACATGGGACCTTTGAAAAAGCAGCTAGTGCTCTTAACCTCTGAACCATCTCTCCATTCCCTACACATAGTAGTTTTGCCACAATTAAAAAGAAGAACTTTTGTCACACTCAGGACTTGATTACTTACTGTAAGCCCAATAGCCCCACTTTAACAGGTAGTCACATCCAATTACATGTGTGCACTTCCCCACTATTTAGGATTATGAGACATGGCTTCCAACTAAAAACTGTCCTAAAGTAAGTGTTATGGGTAGCATTCCTTGAATGAACTTGCACCAATCTATAACTTTAGAGATTGGGAAACGAGTAAGAACATCAAACTCTTTCCTTAAAAAGTAGCCTAAAGTATGAGGGAGGGGGCTACAGCTAGGATACAAAGTGAATAAGCTGTAATTAATATAAAAAAATAAAAATTCAATTTAAAAAAAAGTAGCTTAAAGGAAAGTGTATGCCAAAGGGCACAGCAAAGAAACTGTGAACATGAGCACTCCATTATCAGCAGGAAGGATTTTATTGTAAGAGAGAGAAAACAAGCAAAGGTATCTAAAGGACTCCAAAGCAGAGAAAGAAAAATGTAGAGTGACTGACCATGGCCAAGGCTATCTGCAAGAGAGGAGAGAATAAAAGGGAAGAGTGAACAGAGAACAGCAGAGACAGGAAAAGCCTTGGCATTATGAAGAGAGGAGGGAACTATGGAGAGGTGAGAAGCCAGCATGCTGGAAAGGAGGCTTTAAGATGCCAGAGAGGTTACTTGTGATACTGAAGAAGCTGAGAGGCCAGCATGCACTTTGACAGGCAACCACAAGTACACGTCAATGGAGAGCCATATGCACCTGCTGCCAGTTATTTGTTTTTGTTTTAATTAAATTTGGCATACACTTTTCCTTTAGGCTACTTTTTTAAATTAATTTTTTATTTTTTATATTAATTACATATTATTCACTTTGTATCCCAGCTGTAGACCCCTCCTCCTGGCAGAGGGGAACTGGTTTTACACGCTCCTGAGATGTGCGGACTTTTATCTAACAGCCAGCACTCCTCCAGGCTGAGTTCATTTCTGGATACATGGACCACCTTTTGGAATTTGGAGCATTGGGAGTTTCTTTTGAACATGACAGAAAGAAAAAGTACCAAGTTGAGAAACTGTGTTATCTATTTGCCTGAGTTGTATGTGAAATCATTATATTTTCTTCAAATTGTCACAGAATATTTAGTCAGCATATAATGGTCCCATAAGAATACAATAAAACTTAAAAATTCCTATTCTCCAGCATATTTAAACATTATGACATTACATTGGTATCTTTAAGTCCCCTCCTGATAAACTCCCAAAACCAAAATTATCTTACACATATTAACTCTATTCATTACTGACCTAGCAAAGGAGCCAAGCTCAATGAATTCCAATCCACATATGTGTCAAAGACTCAATAAACCACTTTCTTAAAAATGAGAGGCCACTAAACCATTTCCCTCAGCTCTAAAATTACTTTATGGACACTAATGTTACCTAAAAATCTTAATCTCAGAAAGTTATTTTCCCAGCATCTAAAGACCTGCTAACCTATCCATCAATTAAACATCTCTTTCTCTTAAGAAAATAGCAACATTTATACAGCAGATCATACATTTTTTTTTACCAAAGCAACAGAATACTCAACACTCATACCTACACTACCTTTCTGGACATGAAATAGCTCTTCTCTTACTCAACTTATGCTCTTGATCTCATCTTTTGTTCCTTTTCACGGATTCCACCCCCCAACAGCTTCTCACAATCATGCTCAAATGGTTTCCTACTTCAAAATAAAGATGTTTTCCCTGACCCCACATAATATTCTAATTTGCTACCTTTTATCTCAGTTTGTTGGAAAAAGAGCCTATAAGGTAGCATATCTCCCTTAACATACGTATTAACCATCCTATCATTTCATGGTTTTTAAACATTTTTGTGCATATGTGATGCATATATGTGCATATGTTCACGTGTGTGCACATGGAAGCCAGAAGTTGACACTGGGTATCTTCCTCTTTTGTTCTCTACATTAATTTTTGAGACTGTTTGTCACGGAACCTAACACTCTCCAATTCAGCTAGACTGACTGGCCACAGAGCTCCTGGATCTTCCTAACTGCAATGCTATGACTAGGGTGATGCCAGGCTTTGACAAGGCTGTTGAGGAACTGAACTGAGGTCCTCAAGTTTGCACAACAAGCACCCCATCCTGCTAAAGCATACCCCTGGAACATTTTATAAATTAGTATCTTAGGACTCTTCACTCCTTAGCAATGCTAAGTTATTCATACCCACTTTTACACAGTTATTTTGGCTATACAAAGTAACATTTTCCCACTTTCTTACCACCAATCTGACTGGAGGCTGCTCCTCAAATCTTCTGAGGTGCCCCAGGGATCTGTCCTAGCCCATTTCCTTGATACCTTATCTTTCTCTAGGCGATCTTTACTTAACCTCAAAGCTTCCACTGTTGCTTATGGTAATGTTGTGGTACTGGAAACTGACTCTGAGTGCTCCTTCTGAAATGTGGAGGCTTGTCTAGCCAACAGCCTATCTGATGTTTCTGTGTAGTTATCTAAAATGAAGTTCAAATACAGAATATATCTAAAATATAACTGAGTTACCTGTCTCAATCTGATTCATTTCCAGCTTTCTTATTCAGTAAGAGGCCTGTTTGTGTAACGTAAAGACAGATGTTCTCTAGTCTTTCTCCCTCATCCTAGCACATCTAATTTCCTGGCAAATTTCAATGAACCTACCTCTAAAACATACCTACACTAGCCTAGTTCTATGATTGCTATCAACAATACCACATGCTAACTATCCATTACCAACTCCAGCAAGAGTTTTGACAACAGACCATAATTGATTTCCTACAGGTCTGGTCTTACCCAGACATCTATTCTCTAAAGCAGCCAAAAAATTAAGATCTTTTCAATTCTGCTCCCTTCAGTGGCTTCCCATCATAGTTAGGTAAAAATTCAAGTTCTAGCCTCTATTTTTAAAAGTCTTTGCATGAGCTAGCTTCTGCTAGTCACTCTTATCCCAACTGTATCAACCAAACCTTTACCCAACTATTGAATGCCTGCTAACCATGCACCACTCAGTTTCTCAAATACACCTAAGTCATTCTTTATTAGCTGCTTTCTCTGCTAAAATATTCTTTTTGTTCTGGAAGCCATTTCCTTATTATCAAGGTTTAAAATTAAATGGTGTACTCTAAGAAAGGTGCTCCCTTAACAACCAACACCACAAAGCAGGTGCCTTGTATGCCTTGTTTAATGTGCTATAAACCCCAGTTCTGCAATTGTGCCTGACTCGCCAAACAACATACAGTACACATCAAAGAATTCCCTGACAATCTACTAAATGACACGGGTAATAAATCTTTTTCAAAATACATAGCTAAGTGGTGAATGTGCCTAACTAAAAGATTAGTATATGCCACAATCACTGGTTAAATTATAATTTTATATAGATACAAGTATAAACAAACTTAATAATAAACTATGAAAAATTTGTCAGCTGAAATGCCTACAATGTGTATCTCTTGGAAACACATTTGAAAACAAGTCTCTAACAGGGCGGTGTCTCTTACCAGAGTTAATTTTGGCCTGCAGCCACTTTTTCATGCAGTCCTGATGGACATACTGCAGACTCCCCGTGCATTTGCATGGCTCTATCAGTAGGTTGGAGGACGATGCAGCTGCCATCTGACAAATTCTACATAAGTCCCCTTCTTCTTCTTCAGAGTCCTCCAGGAGAAGGCTGAAAAAGAAGGCATACATTCCAGAGCTACCTTAATTCCTCCCAGATGGCCATTTTTAAACAATTTCACTCTTTCATTGAAAAAAAAAAAAAGATAATCAAGAAAGAAACCAAAGCTCATGTTATTGTGACTAAAATGCTAAAGTAAATAAAACCTATTATACCGTCACTCATCTTCAAATGGTTTACCTTTTGTCTTTGGTAACGCATCTTAAGTTCGCCTCTTTCACAATCACTAAGATTTTAATTATATAAGTATTCTATTTTGTCCATTTGTCAACTGCAGAAGAATTTTAAGACTACTTCGATGACTTAAGTACATACTGATCTGTTTCTCATTTACATATTATCAAAACAAATAAGACTTAAAAATTCTCCATTACTCTACTCTCAACAATCTTACTAAATCATTCTGGTATCTATAAAGGAAGGCTTTTAAAACACCCAACATGGGAGCTGGAGAGGTTAAGAGCACTGGCTGCTCTTCCAGAGGTCCTGAGTCCAATTTCCAGCACCCACACGATGGCTCACAAACATCTATAATGAGATCTGGTGCCTTCTTCTGGAGTGCATACATGTATGCAGGCAAAACACTGTATACACAATAAATCTTTAAAAAAGATAATAAAACATGCAACATTTTCTATTTTCCTCTGCCCTCCATTTAACATGTATTATTTATATGTGAATTCACTTTGTAATGAGCAGAGTTTTCTGTTAAAATTCACATTGTTAGTTCACTGATGGCACATAAAGTGGCAATCAGTAAACAGACAGCACTGAAAGATGAACTGCTATTGAAATACAGCCTGACAGTGTAAGTGAATTTAGCCAAACATTTACAGAAAGAGACACACAAACTATAAGGCAGTCGACTTTGTGCCCCAGCTTAATCAGAAACATGACACCAAGCACAAATTATTCTGAAAAGCTGAACATTTTGTTTTATATTTATCATTCTTCCATTCATATTTTAATTACTTTTTACTAAGTAGATCCAATTTTTGTGTTTATTAATTTAATCAGTCGTCTTAAAATCCTCATACACGAGGCAAAATACAATAAACATACAAAAATATATACTGCAAACTCTGTCAAAATAAATGTGGTTTTAAAATGATACAACCAGAACCTGCGGTAGCAGTATGTGTCTTTAAAACAAATACACTGAAGACAGAAACAAGTGGATATCTATGGTTCCAGGCCAACCAGGGCTACAAAGTGAGATCCTGTCTCAAGCAAACAAACAAAACAAAACAAAACCAAAAAAAAAAAAACCAAACAATAATAAAAAAACCCACCTAACTAGACAGAGTGGTATAGAATTGTAGACTAGCCAAGATCAACAGTTATATTTGAAGGTAAGAAATCTAAGCTACATTCTTCAGATAGCTTACAATCAGAGGAAGTTGCTATAATGAACAAGTATTAAGACTATATTACGAGGAAGAGTAAAATATTTGTTTAAAATAAAAATGTGTAGTTTTAACTAACACAAAAATAAGTGGTAAACTAATTAACGTATTAAAGGCTAATACAGATTGGCAATTCATTATTATTTGATTCCTCTTCCCAATTAAATTCCACTTAGTGATACTCTAACTATGGAAAAAAGAAATTATTTGTGTTTGTGTATATCAAGATAAATTAAAATCTTAGATCATTTTAAAATTCATACTCCAGAACCTACCTTATATATTACTACCATTTGTCTGTAAGACATAGAAACATATAAGTTTAAGGAACATCTTAAACTATTTTACATCTAATCTAGCTTTACAATATATGCTGAATATATAAATTTACCTTTCTTTTATTTTCTGCAGTTTTTCTGGGTCTCTCGAAGGTGCAGTTTTAGTTTTATCACTTTTCCCATCAGCTGAATTCCATCCTGAAGGAATAATATCTACAGTAATCATGACATTGTCAGTCAGATTGCTTCCAAGTGCTGGCGGGACTGCAAACCGGAATAAGGAACCAGGAAGAATCCCTGCGATTCCTGTATTTCTTCCACCCTGAGGCAAATCTGGTGTGGAGGCACCTGCAGAGGCACTGCCTGATGCTCCAGATGCTTGTGGTCTGTTGGTAGCAGCCCCAAGAGGGTCACTCTGTGCTTCAAGGTGAACTACTTCATTTGATTCTCTTGTAAAAATATGAGACCTAGGTGGTACATCTGACATAGATACTCTTGAAGATCCATCTCTTCCCTCTCGTCTTCTTCTAGAGAACAAAGGGGTGCATCTATTTCGAAATGAGGAAGACAGCCACGGTCCTGTATTTCTACCTTCTGATTCGTGATTAAAATTTTCTGCATCTGGTTCAGAGCTATGATTTTGGCTAAGAGATGACAAACCCCATCTGCGCCTAAGAAATCTAAATCCCTGAGAAGCTTCAGATGCCCTGCCATCATTGACTTCAGAAGATGATGTTCCACTATTCCGAGACTGTGAAGTCAAGGTTCTTGGGGAAATATAATTTTCAGAACTCAGTGATCTTGTATTCAAGGAATCTTGACTAGATCTTCTTGAAAAAAAAGTAGATGACATGCTAGAAGCTATCCGTGACAGCAACCTCCTAGTTGTACGCCTACCTTCGTTGTCAGAGGATTCTTGAAACGGTCTCCGAGATGAGCCCACCCTTTCTGAACTGCTTACAGTCGGGGCTTCATCTCTACTTGAAAGATATGAAAATGCGGGGTGAGAACTACTGCGAAAAGATTCCGACGGTCTTGGAGAAAAATGTGATCTGAAAGAACTTCTGCTAGAGTCCCTAGAACTTGATGCTGTCTGACGTTCAGAAGGCAGTTGGTGATTGGTGGATGAGGAATTCAACTGCAAAGTGCTCACTGAATTCTCTTTTGGTCTTGCTCCCTGTGAATATGAAGAAGGAACTCTTTCTTGAACATCTATTTTTGAAAGAAGGGAAGGTAACCAATTATGAAATAATTTAAGCATTACTGAATGCACATTTATTGACTAAACTGAAAGACTAGAGGGTTTGAAATAAACACTGCTCTCTTATAACTAATAGCTTAACTATTATAGAAAAAAATATTTCTGAAGTACTTCCAAGTAAAGTTAACACTACCAATTCAAAAACAAGGTATGAAAGCTTATAAAAAAAGTGGATGAAGCAAGTTGAATGCATTAATGAGAAACTGATACAACAGAAGACTCTCTAATTTGATACAGAACTTGAGGCCAAGTAATACAGTGCAACAGGAAAATAGTTTTGGAGATTCTTCTTATTCTATGTAATAAATACAAAGATTATTTTATGTATGTTATTGCCCATATAATTTTTTAATAATATACCTTGCTAACAGTAAGAAGTTCTTTAATTTTTAAAATTAAAAACAATGGTTACTCATCAGACACACCTAAGCCTTTTTTTTTTAATTTTTTATTAATTACACTCTATTCATTTTGTATCCCCCCATAAGCCCCTCCCTCCTCCCCTCCCGATCCCACGCTCCCTCCCGCACCTAAGACTTTTAATATCAGTTTGGAACTGTGAGTCAATACAGGCCCTTCTGTTATCTGCATTTTCAAAAGTAGGGCAGGGAGAAGAAGCATGGCCAGCACTTGGGTTGCACAGGGAGGAGGATCACAGAGTTCCAGGCTTGTCTGTGTTACAGTATAGCCTTACTTTAAGGACAACAGCAAGATAAAACAGACCTCCTTGACTGTTTCAGTCAGAGTGGGGATAAGAAAAACACTTCCTATACACCCTATGTAAGAGGTACATTTATTATGGTACTAACATATGGAGACCAATAAAAGGATAAACTGTTACAGGATGAATCTATTCCTGTCCCAGACTTTGATTAAACTAAGCACAAACCCCACTTTTGCAAAATACTTTTGTTTATTCTGATCAGCACTCTTTTCTTTCAGTTACTTAATGTGACTGTTTCTGAAAAGTCTACCCATAGAAAGAAAAAGAACGTTTGAAAATTTAATTAGGATCGAGACAAGCACACAGTTCCACATAATCCTTAAAATGATGAGTTCAGGGGCTAGAAAGATGGCTCAGCAGGGAAGAGTACTAGCTTTTTCAGAAGACATGGGTTCCATTCCCCCCGCACTCACATGGTGGCTCTCAGCCATCTATAACTCTAATCTAGAGGATCTGTCACCCTCTTCTGGCCTCCCTGGGCACCAGGCACACCAGGAATGCACAGACATATATTTAGGCAAATAAACTCATACACATAAAATAGCTAAAGAGAGTATAATCAATATAGTTACTTCATAATTCAGTTAGTAGTACATACTTAAGACTTAGAGACAAGTCAGACCATAGTATGGAAGAATTATCTAGTAACACTTCACTAACATGTATAAAAATTTTACAAAACAGAATCTGAATACTCAAGAACATCTATTTTACATTGTTTCTACCTTTAAAAGTAAAACAAGAAACTAAAAAACATCACACAGTTCTGGTATCTCCATAAGAAATTAAAATTCACTTCATTTCCTCCACTGTATTCCTATCAATGACACAGAGAACATCTATGTTAACACATAAGCTATACTTAACAATATAGTTTATACATACATGATGGAGTTGTGAAATCACCACTTCGGTGATTATAATCCATAAGACTGCTAATGGAGGAATCTGTCCTCCTCTCCAAATCTCTCCTTTCTCTCATCAAGTCTGTTCCAAATGAACCAAGTACCATTGATGAAGATCTGGGAACCTGACTACGCCTCCAAGAAGAATCTTAAAGTAATGGAAGAAGTTTTATTTTAGAGAAGGTTTTTAAGGTTTCTGAGGCTCATTAATCTTTAGTAGCACACTGAAGATAGCTATTATTACAGCTATCCCTAGCCGTATAGCTACAAGTTTATAGAGTTTACACTTCATAAAAACAAAAAGTGATATAGGAAGCCAAAGCCAGGCATGGTGGCTTTAATCCTACTACTTGGAGGCAGAGGCAGAATCAAACAGGCAGATTTCTGTGAGTTCAAGGACAACTTGATATATACACAGTAAAGTCTAGGCCAGCCAGAGTTAAATAATATGACTGTCTCAAAATAAATAAAAAAATAAAACAAAGCCAAAGCTATTTTGATATGGTAACTGGGTTACAGGACAAATACAATTTCATCAGAAAAAGTTTTTTTTTTTCCATGCTGAGAATTGGACTGAAGTACTTGCATATTCTAAACATATAGTCTATCAGCCTTAGAAATATTTTTACTGTCACATTTTACTCATCTTCCCCTCTCCCCCCGAGACAGGGTTTCTCTGTGTATCCTTAGCTGTCCTGGACTGGCTTTGTAGATCAGGCTGTTCTCGAACTCACAGAGATCCGCCTGTCTCTGACCTCCCTTAGTGCTGGGATTATAGGTGTGCACCACCATACCCTTGCTCATTCTTTATTTTTAAGAATTAATGTATTTTTGCAATAATATTCCAAATTTTATATGATTTCACTAAAAAGTTAACCAAAATTAATTCTCAAACCTATTGTCCCCTATTTACTTTGAAATTTTGTCTCTTCCTTTCCTAGTTGTAGAATCTTTATTTATTTTTTCCTGTTTTTCAAGACAGGATTTCTCTGTGTATCACAGCCCTGGCTGTTCTGAACTTGCTCTGTAGACCAGGCTGGCCTTGAACTCACAGAGATCCACCAGTGTGAGGCCTCCTGAGTGTTGGGATTCAAGGCGTGTTCTGTCACACCTAGCTTTCTTTCTTTCCCAGCTTTAACAATTCTTCTACATTGAGGGAAATCACCCAGTAAACTTAATGTTACACCTTCACAAAATGTACAACAAAGATGTTTCTGCAAAGTAATGTGTGTCTACAAAGCTGAGGTCAGCATGCTCTGACCCATCATACCACTTCTAGCAACCATCAGAGGTGCAGTATTCCCCTTAGGGGTCTTATCTATCAAAATAAGAAGGGAATCACTTTACACTGATTCAGTTGGTAAGCACAAATATTTTAACCTAGTCTACAGAGCAAGCTCCAGGACAGCCAGAACTATACAAACAAACAAAAAGGAAAGAAAAGAATTTTCTCTTTAACTGTGTCATCACAAGTTTTGTCTTCTTTTATAAACAACTTCAGGAATTGTCTAACATTTTACTGGAAGAGCTTCAGCTGAAAAAAATCTGCTTTCCTAACAAGGATTTTTGAACAACAGGAATACATTAGCCTAAGTATAAAATGTAGGAAGCACAGAGCTTTATGTCATTCTTATAGACTGAGAATCCTGACTTTTTCATTCCTTATATAGAGCTCTTAAGTTTTCAACTTGTTAACTGAGTTTTCACATTTTATGAAAATAAGTATCATATACTATGTTTATCAGTTCAAGAACATAATGAGAAAATGCTTAATGCTTATCAGATGTGGCTTTCACAGGAACACTTTTAAAAGGTCTTTCTCAAAAATAACCAACAGAAGACTCTTGACTTGATTTTTACCAATATGATTAATCCATACTAATGTTAGAGCCGAAATAGTGGCATATGCCTTTAATCCACACTCTGTAAGTTGTGGACCAGTCAGGGCTACATAGTGAGACCGTGTCTCCAAAACACAAACCAAAACAAAAAACTATTCTACTTACTTAAAATCTACTAACATTCTCTGTGTTGTAAATCAAAAAGAAAAAGAGTTGATTTCATTTTTACTACCAACTTAATGTAAAATTTTGCAAACTAGTGCATTTCCAAATCCACTGTCTTATATAAACTAATTAAAAACTTAAAAATCTTGGAGGTGGGGACTGGAGAGATGGCTCGGAGGTTAAGAGCACTGGCTGTTCTTCCAGAGGTCCTGATTTCAATTCCCAGCAACCACATGGTGGCTCACAACCATCTATCAGGAGATCTGGTACCCTCTTCAGGCGTGCAGGTGAACATGCAGACAGAACATTGTGTACATAATAAGTAAATAAATTACTTATTCTCAGAGGGGGAAAGGGCTTTGTTCAAAAACACTCATAAAGTGACTTTAACAAAAAGTGAGTTAAATTCTTACCTGATACTGTATTTAAACCGCTTCCAATATTTCTCCCAGCTGAGGTAGATGTACAATTTGTACAAGAAAGTTTAGGTCTTTTTGAGTCGTGATCCCGTTGCTGGTTTTGTGATCTTGCTCGCGCGCCCTGAGTTATCTCAGATTCACTGTACCATGTAGACTGGAAGGGCGATGCAGATGCTGACGCTGATGCAGACTATTGAAAACATTAAGAAATAACTGCTGTTTAAGTTATTCAGCTTCACAGAAAGTAATAACATTCAAATAATCAAGTTAAAGGCTGTTGGTAATGTAGCTTCCTAAAAGGCAGGTGAGATGGTTGTGCTGGAAATGACCCATCTCTAGGATACAGGGTACACACTACTACTAAGAGAACCCCCAAGACAGACTGATTTACAATCAGACAGAATATTTACAATATTTAAGAATTGTATTATTTCACCCACTGCTTTGTGCACACACAAAGTCAGATTAGTAAGTATTCTGATTGGAAAAAGAGAATTAAATTTTTAGTGCACAGATAAAACCATCTCAGCACACACTGCTTCAGCTAAATTTTTAATTTAATATTTGCTTTCAAAATGCAAAGCTTTGTAATTTCAGAAAGTATTATAAACAAGAATATAATCTCTCATCCACAATTCTAAAGTCCCCACATTTTGAAAATAATTAACTACTTATTTTGTTTTTATTTTAACAATCTAAGATTGTAGGGTATGCCTCAGGTGCAACAATTTTGAAAAAAAAAAAAAAACCTTATGTACCAACAGTTTTTTATTTTGACTATGTACATATTCAGGTTAAAATACTACCTGATATTCAGAATCCAGTCTAAAGGAAGAGTCTCTAGAATGGTAAGAATCATTTAAACTAGTTCCTCTGCTTCCAGACACCATCCTAGCACTTAATGAGCCAGAGGGTTGAACAGAAATTCTTCTCGGGATCCTGGAAGGTTTAGACTCCATTCTTAAGGTTTCCTGTGAAATGTAAAATTGTGTTAACTGTATTGGAAAGACATGCAAGCACTCCTACACTACTCCCCAAACAGCAACAGTTTATTCTGAGACATTTAGTTTGAGACACAATTTGGGTCTCATTAATAAGAAAGCAGCCATTTAAGAACTGCCCCAGCCTGCCTCACAAGTAAAGGTGCTAATCTTACAAGTCTATGAGCAGAGTTGTCCCCAGAACCCATACATATCTATAGAAAAATCATACTCTCAGAACTCCTATGATGCAGATGAGAGGCAGAGATGGGAGGCAGAGACAAGAATTACCAAGTCACCAAGGCCAGGCAGCGGTGGTTTTGAACACTTCAATCCCAGCACTCAGGAGGCAGAGCCAGAAGGACCTCTTGAGTTTGAGGCCAACCTGGTCTACAAGTGAGTTCCAGAACAGCCAAGGCTACAGAGAGAAACCCTTGTCTTGGGAGGTGGGGTTGGGACTGGGGGAGGGGAGGAATCACCAATTCATCAAGAAGTTCTCACATCTACCAGCCAGGAATAAACAATTCATCTGGGAAACAAGGTGAATACTTGACTGAACAAGGAGGGAAGAAAGAACTGACTCCAAAAAACTATCTTCTGCCCTCTGTGCATGCATATACAAAATAATTTTAAAACTTAAAAAGTATCAAATTGTCACCTGAAAACTACTATCACCTTTCTCCTTGAAGGGAGAGCTTTAATAACATCCAACCAAGGTTCCCTATGCCTGTTTAAGAAGCATGGAAAGATGCCCAACAAAACACACATCTATCTTCCAATGCCTGAGCTTCTTCCTCATATACATTTGTCCCAGACTCTCATGCCATCCTTCTTAATATATACGCCTTTTGGGGGGAGGGAGAGAAAGGGGGGAGGAATTAGAGAAGAAAATGAGGAGCATGGTGCCCTCCCCTCAGAGAGAAATCAAAGTCAAGGGAAGGGGAAGAAAGCTAGGCAGAGAGAGCACATACACATCTTTTATACTGTTTTCATATCCTTTAACAAATATATTCTCAGCCCTTTGTACACACCTGGGAAGCCTATACATTCCTTCCCTAACTTCTGCCCATCAGATTATATCAGCTTTATTCTGTCATCCCACTTTTCTCGTGTTTTTGTTAGAACATCACACTACTTTAGGCTGTTATTTATCAGTTTATTTCCCGTTCTCAACATTCAATTTCTTTAGTCAGGCTCACTTAAGTATTTCTAAAGCACTGCCTAGAATAGGTGACTGCACAGGCACAGTCCTCCTTGTGACCCTCCTTTGGCTCTCAGACATTGAGACCACAGACCTAAAAAACTACAATGTCTACATGAGCTTCACACTAAAGGAAAAAAAAGCTAGGGCCTGGGCGTCAAAACAGAGGCAAAACTGCTCCCCCCACAAGATTTCACAGAGTTCTGACATGCTCTTAAACTACCTGGCAGCAAAAACTGACGCTGATCACAACTGTCAGGGCTGGTAAGGAGCACACTTTCATCAGGACTGCTTAGTTATGCACACCTCTTGCCTTTACTGAAATCTACACCTCAGGTTGGAGTGATGAGGTCAGCAGTTAGGAACGATTGCTGCTTTCTCTCACAGAAAGTCAAAGATCACAGCATCCACATCATACGCCTTACAACCACATTTAACTCCAGCTACAGGGTATCCAAACCCCCTCCTGTGGCCTCTAATGGCAACCCTGCACAGGTGCACACATACAACACACACATAAAGAAATGAACCTACACCTACCTCGTGTTATAACGCTGAGAGAATGGACTCTGTCTCTCCCTCTCTCTGTCTCCCTTCTTTGTTTCTTTACTCCTCTGTGTAATTGGTCTGTTGAGGACAGGTGGCTGAACCTAGTTTGTTATGGCTGCCCAGACTCTGACCCTAACAATGTGGGAAACAGGCACTCAAAATGTGGAAGTTGAAAAATCATTTGTTTGTTTATTTTGGGTTTTTCAAGACAGGGTTTCTCTGTATAGTAGCTCTGGCTGTCTTGGGCTAGCTTTATAGACCAGGCTAGCCTAGAGATCCGCCTGCCTCTGCCTCCTGAGTGCTGCACCATTACGCCCACTACCAGTTGTAAATCTTAACAGAACAATAACTATAAACTTGAGTATGACATACCCCTATACCTGTATCCTACCATTCCAGAGCCTGAGGCAGGAGAACCAGAGAGGGCAAACTGAAATACACAGGGAAAACATGTCTCCAAAACAATAAATGTCTTCCTTTTATTTACCGCTGACATGATCTCTTAATTACAGCACACATAAAAGCAACAGCTGATATTTACCAAATATCGTATTCGAATGAGAGACTACTCAACTCCAAATCAACCCTGTGAGACAGGTATTCAATTAGCTCCACTATATAAGAAAACTTACTTATAATTATTAGAAACCAACGTTTAAGTGAGAAGATCTATAAGATATATAAACCAGAGATAGTACTGGTTACATGGTAATTTATGGTGGTGGCTCAGCTGATAATTTACTTGCTGTGCAAGCATGAAAAGCTAAATTCAATCTCCAGCACGCACATAAAAGCCAGGCTTTGGAGGACATAGCTGTAATCCCAGCCTGAGAAGGCAGACGCAATGAAGGTCTCAGAATTTCCTGGTAGAAATCTCTAGTTCTAGGTTCAATAAGAGACTCAAAAAATAAGCTGAAGCACAATTCAGGAAAAAAACCTGGTGTTAACCTCTGTCCTCCACACACACATCCTTAACACAAACACACACACTCACCCCTAAGGAATTAAAAAAATATTAAATTCAGTTGTTCATGTAAAATACAGAACTGAAGGCATATGCCTGTAAACCCATCACTCAGGGAGGTGTTCAAGGCCAGCCTGGTCTACAAAGTGAGTCCAGGACAGCTGAGGCTACACAGAGAAACCCTGTCTTGAAAAACAAAAACAAGACAAAATAAAAAGCAGAACTGAGTGCTTTTCACTTCTACAGATGCAGAGTTAAATTTCTAAATTTCCTTCAGAGTATTTAACAAACAATGAAAATTAATTCCGTCTGGCTCTAAAAGCATCCAAGACAACAACCCCTCCCACGAAAAAAAAAATTTTCAAATTTTTCTTTGCTCCTGTTTTTTTTATTAACCTTAGATTAACTGTAACTGTATATCACACCCTCCAAGAAGCCACTCTGTGGGCATTCCCAGCAAAGGGCCATTAGGGCTCATGAAGTAGTCGGGCAGAAAGTATGCGCGACCTGATGTTGAAGAGTGCCCAGTGACAAACAACCAACGGCAGGATCGGGATGATGTGGAACCCGATTGGTCACCCAAAACTACCTATCCTGCTCTCTCTTCCGGAATAAACGAGTCTGCAGCTACTCGCCCTCGGAATGCATTCGCCAGACTCCAGGTGTGGGTGCCGACTCCGCTCCTTTCACCCCTTGGCCTGGACACCCTGTCCGGTTTTGACCAACACCATTCCAAACTATGGGAGGTCATACCTGAAAGCGTGTTTTCCAGAAACACTCAACGAAACAAATACTGCAATGTAAGTTACTTTGGTCAGCATAGAAATCTTTATTGTTTACATCTTTATTTTTATTGGCCCGTAATTGTGCTAATCTATGTGAAGATTAGAAGTACACAGGCACATTCTAGAAGCATCTATTTTTTCAAACTAATGCTCAACTGAGGAAGGAACCCACCTTTCTGATCATCTCTTGAAAAAAAAAAAAAACTCATGTGAAAGACTCCTTTAGAACAAAGGGTAAGTAAGATGGTCACTGAACACAGGTGCCAACTATCTTCTAATAATGGTGGTTGGTTGCCAATAAAGTTTTCTTTCTCAGTCACTCTGCCTCTTGAGTCACTGTCTCCATCAGAAGGTAGCAGAATATTCTTGTGCGATTCCAGCTTCATTTGCTTAACATTTGTGAGATTCTCTCATGCTAATTTCTCATGAATAGGTGTACATATTAATTTTCCCATTCTGTCAATGGAAATTAGATTGTCTCTTATTACCAACACCATTTATATATGCATATAGCCTTTATAAACTGAAAAACCTGGCAAGACAGCTGAGAGGGTAAAACACCTAAGCCTGAGGACAAAGTTCAATCCTCCCAGGACTCATTCAGTGAAAGGAGACAACTTGTCTCAAGTTGTCACACAAGTTGTCCTCTGATATTCATATGTGAACCTTGGCATGTGCAATCACATAAATTTATGGGTTGGAGACATAACTCAATGATTAAGAGCATGTATAATGAGGCTATGGATTGATTCAGCTCCTAGGACCCATATCAGGCAGTTCCAAGGAAATGCCTCTGATTCTCTCAGATACCTGAACATATCATTCACACCACCAACAATTAAAAATACTGAAAATTCTTTTTAAAATTTTTTAAATGTTCTTTGAGACAGGGTTTCTCTCCGTAGCCTTGGCTGTCCTGGACTCCTTTGTAGATCAGGCTGGCCTTGAACTCACAGAGATCTGCCTGCCCCTGAACCTGGCTAAGAATTCTTAAAAATAAAAAATGAAAACAAAGGGGGGGGGTTTGAAAAACTTAAGAAAAAGTTGCCACCCCCACCCCTGCCCCTGTAGGGAATCTACAAGTCTGGAGACAGCACAATTTTAAGACTACAAAGGGAATCAAGACACCTACACAGTCTCCCTAACTTTGCATTAAAAAACTATCTTTAAGATCAAAAGCTGTTTTTCTTACCCTGTAAATTAGAGTTCAGGCAAATATACAGCCACTACATGTCTGATGTGCAGTTTAGATTAAGACTGTTTACTAAAATATTCAAACTTAAGACAAAATGTCAAATTCACTTTCAGCAGTCTTGATATGCTATCAACTACTTTTGTATTAACCATATCTTTCTACTTAAATTTCAACAAAAGAATTGATTGCATTAATCTTTGTCTTAAAAACATATTAAAGTGAATAAATTATAAAAAATAAAAAAGCAGAAAAAAATATATCGGAATGTGACATTAAATGAACGGGGAGAGGGCTGGA